GCACTTCATAGAGCACCTTCTCCACCACACACAGGCGTTTCTACCCCTTTGCCCCACGAGCCTTTCTGAGGTCTTTCTGTTCTGCAAAGCTGGATCCCCGCCGCTTGCATCAGGCCCCAGCCCATTGTACAGCACTATGTAATAACAACATTTCTCGATCGTGATTCACAACAATAGCTACCACCCAAGTTCTTGGCTCACGGCGCAGCCCAATATCTAACAGCGTTCAGTTCAACCCAATGTGATCCCTGTCCCCACCCCCTCCGATTCCAGCTTCGGAGCTTGGCCGGCTTCGGGCCCACGCTGCTCCTGCTCGCAAACCCCAGGCATGCTGACTGCTGCTCACAACGAAGGGGGAGCACTCGGAGATGAACTTTTGGCAGTGCAAGCTCTAGGGAAGGCTGAAGTCCCTGCTTGCCTGTCACTGATTTATTGACGCCTCCCTAATTGTGGAATGCCAACCATACATGGAGATCTGCAGAAAGAAAGGACTTGGCTCGAAGGAAAGAGAGGTCATCGCAGGCAAATCAGATGCAGGCACCAAGAAATATTTTTGTTTTGTTTTGTTTTTTCTTTGCTGCTGCAGTGAATGTAATAAATAAATGTGCATCTGCTGAGCTGTTTCTACTCAGAGTTCTCCCTTGTTCCAGATTTGGCCTTAACTTTTGTTAGTAACCTTGATCAGCAGTGGTCTGCCCACCAAGGCTATGTGTGCATATGAATTAGAGAGGGAGAGACAGCGTTCATTTCCAAAGCAGACTTCTTTTCATCCTCTGCCAGCCATTTTTTTGGATGGAGGTATCTTTTTCCTTCATTTTTTTTTTTTGGTCATAATGTAAGCATAAATTTGAAAATGATCTGCAGAACTAAGATTTAATAAGCTTGCTCACAGAGCAATAAGCCAAGAAAAAAAAAAAAGAGAGCAAAAATCACAGACCTTTTCTACAAATGGGGGGGGGGGGTCGTTTAAAAGAAAATTTAATCTTCAGCAAATGCTAGCGAATAACATTTGTTCATTTTGGAGACTAATCTGCAACCATTCCTCACACGCCACTCTAACACATCTCTGCACAACCCTCGTCTTCACTTCCCTCTCCTGGTTCTGGTTCAGCAGCCAGCATCTGCCACTGATTATGGGGGCTTAAGGTTTCACCTCTGAGGAGCAGCGTGGGAGCACATTGAGGTCCCTGCATCTACATGTAGCTGCACACGTCTCTTTGCTGGCATTTCACTCACGCTGTCACTCCTCCCTTCTAGATTTGCTCTTCCAGACTCTCCTCACATCAGCCCTGTCCCCCATTAGCCCTCTCAGTACACCATGCCCGTGAGATGGATCCTGTGTTTTCATCCCAAAACCACAGCTAAGGATGCTCAAGGCTCAGTTCTCGTTCAGGGCGAGTTAGCTGACACAAATCAGATGAGGTGTAGAGAGTGGGTCACACGCACAGCTGACCAAGGCAGAGATCTGACACAACTTAGGACACTTTTGTTTGAGCATGGTCAGCGCTGAGGAGAGAATAATTCCTTAGCAGAGCAGGAGCTAGGAGCTGCAGCAGGCTGTGTGTGGCAAGGTCTGCACAGCACCTTCCTGCACCAAACCTGGACCCCACGCCTGGAAACCTCTTGCATTCCCCTGGCAACAGATTCACTTTCCAAAACAAAATGAACTCAAACAGAGTCATTTCCTATGAGCGAATTTGGGACTGGAACATAAAGCACAGGCGGGGAAATATATATGTGACATACTTGCAACAGCAGGGAGAATGATTTCATCTAGCATCCAGCTGACTAGTAAAGAGAGTCAGCAGCCCCCGAGGAGAAAGCCATTAACACACAAACACATTTTATGCTGGCCAAGGTGAGAAAGGAATGGCTGTAGGTACTGAGGTGACAGCTACTTTAGGATCAAAGGAGAAGGCTGAGAGGAAACTATAAAACTAACTTCAGATCTGGCTGGGGGAGGGGGCGTGAATGGAGAAGAAAACTTAATTAAAGGTGGCAAATAATGACTATTTTTTCTGGGAAAGGGGCAGCGATGATTTCACTTCCAACATCACACCTGAGCAAACATTATGCAAAGATGGCCTGAGTTAGGACTTCATTGCCAGTAGAGCGATGCAGATCCAGCCTTCACTTCAAAGGCTAAGAAAAGTAATTGCAAGAGAGGAACTGGTTTGCCAGTGGTGCTCAGCTATCGATTCCATCTCTTCCAGAGTAGCTGCAATAGATAGCTGCTGGGCATCGCTGAGGATGTGACCATCTCATTCACGCATTTCTAACAAGATGAAACAAAACAAAAAAAAAAGAAATGAGGTGGCACCCGTGCTGAGGTGGGTAGCTCCGTGGTGACCCTCACCCAGATCTGCCAGGTGAAATGCTATAGTTAATACTAGTGCAAGGAGAAAACATGGGTATCAACAGCATAGGATGGCCTACAGGTCACCAGATGTAGGACTCATCACAACAACAGGTCATCCTGCAAGCCAACAAGCCAGGAAGCAACAGCAGATTGCAACCACAGCCCAGGCTTTGATAGTAACGGGAGATTTTTGCACCCAGTGAGTTCCTGGGACAGGAAGGCAGCAAGGTCTACACCACTGCAGAGAATGGAAATGGAATGGGTAACAACCAATATTAGCTTCACAGTCTAGTCTTGACAAACCCATCCAATTTCCTTTTAAAACAAGGAGACAGATCTCGTAGGCTGGTGAGAAGCAGCAGACGTCGGTATCTTTACTTGAGCTAAGCTCTTTGACACTGGCTTGCATGAAATCCTCTTAAACCAGCAAGGAATGTGTGGTCTGTCTACTGCAGAGCAGATGCAGCACTGGTACCCAGAAAGTCGTGAACAGGACCAAATACACACATTATACCAAATACACATCGAAGAGAGATCCACAGGTTTCTCCCTGGGTCTGACTCCAGTCAGTCAGTGACTTGGACTTTGAACAAGAAGGAAGATGATTAAATTTGCAGGATGTCCAAAGCTGGAAAGCTCTGCAAGTACACTGAAGGCAGGAACAGAGTTTTTTTTAAAAACGGCTTGATGAATTAGAGAAACAGTCAGGGAAAAAAAGAACGGGCACAGTAGGAATCCATGCAAGGCTCCACACTGAGGAATAACTGGCTGCACAAATATGGATGTGGAACCACTGGAGCTGAGGTTTAGAGCAGATTGAAAACCAAACTGTTTGTCATCAGTGCCATGCTCTTGGAAGAGCCAAGAAAAAAAGATGTGGGCTAATTAGATACAGTCCAGAGGAAAGAAAAAAAAAAAAAAAGAATAATCAGATGTCTAGAGAACGTGATCTTGGGGAAAATCTGAAAGAATTGTTGAAGTTTAGCCTTAAGAAAAGAAGACCAAGGAGAAGCACAACAAGTCTGCAAGTTCACAAAAGATTGCTGCAACGGGAGAAAGGCACTGGTCAGTCTTACATGCCTATAAGGGAGAGGTTAGGATACAGTAAGAGTCTTAAGCTGCAGTAAGAAAGACTTCAGGCTTGATGTTATGAAACTATTAGGGCAAATAGATGGAAGAAACGCATAAAGTATCCAGCTGCGAAGCCTCTGTGAGGGGAGAGCTTGAAGAACAGGCTGGAGAGCTGACAGGAATGACATAAGTGTCCTGCCCCAGGGGATCTGGAGGGGGAACAGAGATCTGGCGGCCTGTCAGAGCCTCCTCTGGGGGAGCTGGCTGAGGGAGAGGGCTGGGAAAGGTCCTCCTGAAACGGAGGGCCTTGCTAAGAGCATTCAGCAGGGGCAGGTAGCCAAGGCATTTCTCCTTGCCCTCCCTCAGCCTGCTCCCCTAAATCACCCTTACCCCTCTGCGCTTTCTCCCCTTGCAGTCACTGATCTGCTGTGCTCAGATCTTTTCGCACATCTGAGGAGCTGCAAGGGCCAGCCTAGACTTCCCCTGCCACGGGGAGGTGAAGGAGGCCAGGCCAGACCCAAGAGCACTGAAAACCCTGGGAAACAGGGCTTGCTGCTCCCGATGCTGTTGGTGGGGGAACAGCTCTTGCTGCGGCAAAAGGAGGCTCCCTGCAGTCACAACTGCCAGCAGTGACAGCAGCAGAGGTTGATGCCCATGGGAGGTGAGAAAACCATGGTTTGGTTTCACACTTCTTCAGCAACCAGCGCCTTCTCCTCTGGGCAAAGCAGAGGGAAAGGCTGCGAGTCTGGCACCCAAGGCAAGCGCCAATGTTGTGAGCACCTTAGCGCGTGCTGCAGATCTCAGTGGGAGGCTTTTGTTTGTTTTTTCACTCAAAACATTACATGTCGAAGCCAATCGACATCCCTAGAGTGATCTTAACAAGGTTCTGCTGCTGGTTACAGGGCAGTAATGTAAACAGAAGATTACTGGTGACCACAAGCAGAAAGAGGAAGAATAAATGGAGGGCCGGAGAATTAAAAGTTATCCTGGGCTGGGTTCACCATCGTGTTACTTCTGTTCCATGAAACACCTGTGCTTGGAAATGGAATTGCATTTCCAAAACAAACAGCCAAAAAAGAAAAAAAAAACAAACAAACACAAAACTATCCCCAATACTGAATGAAAAGCTAGTCCCTTAAATAGTTAATGTTAACCACAATCAACAGAAAACTTAAGATTTTTCAGATCACCTAAATTGTCTGATTCAGATTTCATTGAAGGTAACAGTGCCAGCACATCAACTAAGAACAGACACACAGCTGAGCAACCTGGCCCTATAAGCCCATCAAGTTCAATCTGAATGACTTGCCTTCAAGGAAAGATTGGTCCTAAGTGGCCTTCCAGGTGTTAATCAATCATTTATTCAACAGCTGTCTCACATTCATTGCTAATTATTACTAACAATCTTTTGGCCTTGCATTAGCAACTTAGCAGAAATGCACTTAGTAGTATGTTAGCCTTCTCTTTCCTTTTATGTTTTTACTGGCAAAAAGCATCTCTGATATTTATTTTCTTTCAGCTGAACGCTGGTGATAGACGCAGACCACAACGTCGCAGAGACTTCACGACACACTACACAGAGCAGACTGTATTGGGGCCAGCAGAAAGCAGCACTGCAATTCGACAGAGGTGCAATGGTTTCACGTACATAGGACCCAAGTCAAATACCCTCTGTCCCCTGCTCCTGCCTTACAGGCCATGTCCAGAGCACATCACAGTGTTGCCCTCCTGTTTCACCTTGGGCACAAGCATGGCACGCTGCGTTACTGCACAATTTGTTAGCCTTGGCTCGTGTTGGCCCCATCTCCTCCCCAAGGACGCTCTCCCGGTGTGTACAAAGTGCTGGGGTAAATAAGCACGCTCAGCCAAACCCAAGTGCAGCCAGGGGGAAATGACAAATGCTTCCTTCGCGACAGAAGAGGACCCATTGTCAGGAATCAGAAGAATCATTTCCCGGTTACAGTAGCCTGCAGATACGTTGATCCAGATTCAAGCCTCCAATAAAGGCTCCTGCGAGTGATATATTGGCTATTCTGCTTCGCTGACTGACCACTCGAGGGCAAGAATGCAGCTCCCAGAGGCGCGACACAAGGGCTTGAAGAGCTTGGCTGTATTTTCTTCCACTTAAAACTGGGAGAGGTGAATAGCTGGTGAAAGTGAGGAGGAGATTGATGGCTTTGGAAACTGCACGGCCCTCTCCCTATACGGAACAGATTTGGTACAGGCAGCCAGCTTCAAGCCTGACCTTGCCCTCCCTGACCTGTCAGCAGCCTCAACCCTGACCTTGGAAGGACCACCCTTCTCCTGGGGGAAGGACAGGAGAAAAATTGAGTGGAGATCAGGTTGAGATAATTTTATTCCACAGGAGAGGACAGTCTGTGAGGCGTGTAGAAGCTGGGTGTCCTTCTCAGGCTTTGGTATTCACTGCACAGCCACCTCATGGTGCTCACAACATGGTCTGGGACTGCCAACTGATCACACTTCTTGGAGAAACTTCCTCCCATCCTCACTGCACTTTGGATGTCGTGAGAGCAGTCAGACCGCATTCCTGATGGAATGCTTTGAGCCCCTACCTCTTCAAAAGTCATAAAAAATCTCAAACAAGCTCTTTCCAGACCCAAATCTTTTGGCAGCATGAGCCCCAAACCCTTCTCGTAGCTCTGCCTCCCCCGCAAAGAAATCAGTCCCTTCCCCAGGAGCTGCCTCCCTTCTGCTTTCCCTTTCCCATAACCAGCCATCCCTCACCCTCCTGTTTCTGTAAAACACTCAGCACACACGGCAGCTGGGGGGGGGAGGGACTGAGGGGCTGGTGGAAGCCACTCAGATTTCACATTTATTTAATAGCCGTGGCTGTGCTTGTTTGATTTATCTTCACACATACGTTTGACAGATATGGTCTCATAAAAACTCCACAGAGTAAAAACACCAAAAAGGCCTGCAGCCATTCTGTGCTAGCGTGCAGTCTGGCTCCAGCTCTGGAGCTACACAGAGATCGAGCTCGCTGTGGCTGGCAGCAATGCTCAAATGGAAAAACCTCTGAGTCTGCAGCACCCAAAAATGCAGGGTGCTTGGCTGAAATGGACCACGGTTCCCCAGGTGGCAGTGTCTGGTCAGGAAATAAAAAAGGCCCTGATTTCCTCTTCCCATGAAATATCCCACTGCGCTTTATATAAATTACTTCATTCAAATAACTTATATTTGGGAGACTAATCTCATCCTACCCCCAAATCCTGGAAGACAGCAGTGTTCAGAATACCTCAAGAAAGTTTATGAATTTTATAGCACTTTAAAAAAAAAAAAAAAAAAAAAAGCAGCTTTAAAAAGCTCTAGCAAGCCACAGCAGAATAAGCTTGCTTCACCCTTAACTCATGAGGAACTTAGGAGCTTGGTGTATTTGTTCCTAAAAGTACCTTAAAATTTGAGGTCTCAGAAAGTCTGCTTCAAACTATCATAGTTCTGATAGTGGAACTGGCTGTACAATTTGTGCACAGAGTGGCTATTATATAGTCTGGGTAGACTCTACAAAAGCACAGCCTCCTGTAAAATATGCATATTTCACAGCTTTTTTTTTTTTTTTTTTTTTAAAGGAGAGCACACCTGAAGCTCTCATTCCAAGAGAGGCAAAGTGAAATAACTGTAAATGAAGTCACTGGAGTGTTAATGGTGCTCAAAGGTAGGATTCCAGCTGCATTCAGGTGGTGTTTTATTATGCATATAAATAACAAGCCCCCAAGTCTCCGAGCTGGCAACACGGTCTGGAAGAAGGTGCTCAGGGCTGAGAGTGAAAGACCCTGTGTTCCAGCCTGCTACTGCGGTGGCCACTTTGCTTCTTTGTACATTACTCCCACATATAAAATAACACTCTTAATACTTAACAGTCACAGAGAGATAGCACAGCTCTTGTCTGTTAACAAAAGAGAATGGGGAGGCTTGCATGTCTGCCCCACGATTATCTCAGCTGGTTAAAACCACTGCAGAAGATAAGTGGTAGAATCTGTGACGGCTTCTCTGTGGGCAGACAAGATACTTTTGTTTCCCCCTTTTGTTAGGGGCAGTTTTTCCCAGCTATGGAAACACCATCTTTTCTACTTTAAGCAAATAACTAAAAAGTTTGCAAACACCTCTGCCTCCAAGATGCACTCACCAGCTCATCTGATTTCCAAGAACTGAGCCCACTAGACAAGGATTGCAGAGCCTTGCCAGTTTTCTCCCCAGTTCTCAACTCCATTGCTAGCAGATGGAAAACTCAACTCACCTTCATTTGTAGGTTTCAAGGAGTGGTAGTATATGCTCCCAGACCAAGGGCCAGGCCCACTACCACAGACTCACCTTTTCTAGGCTTTGTGCCATTTGAGCAGAGATCACCTGTGGACAATGTATTAACGCCAACACCTGCTGTTACACACCTTAGCATTGTCATGCATAGTGCCCACACATGTTGGGTAGCTTCTGGGCTTGGACACTCCCTACTTGCCCTATGACAAACCAACAGCAGGGAAGAGGTCCAACCTTTGCTAGAGGTGGCTCTTTCCTCACTCAGTGGCAGAGTGGGGTACAAAAAGCTCCCTCAGAAAGCTGCAGTGGGGTGGAAAGGATAGGTTGCTGGGGTGCAGGGCAGGCACTGAAACAACTGTATGCAAGTTTGGGCCATTACAAGAAAGGGGACTGTATCTCCTACATAAAAAGGCATAAAAGGAGGCCGCCCTCCCCCTGAAGACAGCCACCCATATTCGTTATTTCTATCCCTTCTTCTTCTTTTTGGATATTTACAGAGCCACGAGCAAGGTACTGACAGGCAGTCAAGGAATTCAGCCGCTGGTTGGCTGTGCAGGACTCAGGAGCTGGAGGGTGAAAGTGATGCATGGAAATTAAGCTAATTTTAAACCGCAGGCAAGAGAAGAGACTTGCTAGCAGTTACTTAAGAGAAGCTGCTGACTGTTTAAATACCATTAAGAAGATTAATGTCGGCCCGCAGAACCACTGAAAAATTAGGGCTGAAAGGGACCTCAAAAGGTCAGACCAGTCCATCCCTCTAACCCAAGGCAGCATCACCTAAACCTCGGGCATCCCTGACAGATGTTGCCTAACTTGATCTTAAAGCTCTCCACTCCCCAGGCAGTCTATTCTTTATTATCCCTGTCATTAGAAAGTTTTTCCTAACATCTAAATTGAGTCTTTCCTGCTGTGATTTAAGCCTTTTATTTTTTTTTCCTTCTTTCTCTTTTTCCATCACAGACAAGGAGTAAAGATTGTGCCCTTTTATGTGCTTAAAGACTTCAGTTCTCTCCTCCTTTGGGATGGGGAATTTCGGTTCTTTCAAGCTTTCCTGGCAGGTAATAGTTTGTAGGCTTCCGGTTGTTCTCCCTGCTCTCCTCTGGGCTGGATCCAATTACTCCACATCTCTTCTCATTTTCCATCACCTCAACACCGTGACATAGCCGACTTGCATTCAGCTTTTGATCCTTTTTCTGAAGAAGTGCTAGTTAACCCGCCACTCCCTCGCCGGGCTTTGTGGAGCTCGTATTGCTGCTGAAGTGTAAGACTTTCCACTCACCCGTATTGAATGGCCTCCTGTTTCTTCCAGACCCTTTCCCCGCTTTGGCTAATTTATTTTTAAAATTTAATTCTGTCCAACACTATATCCACAGTTTTACTTCACATATAAAATGTCACCCTTGACTTTAATAAGAGAAGGAAGAAAATTAAGCAGGTCTGAATTGAACAGGGGGTGAAAGCCCACTGAAAACAACCTTTCATTTAGCTGGCACAGGCTCACCAGGTGAGGTTATTAAAGTGGGTTTGTGCCTACAAGGGTCAGTCCCTATGTTTTCCCAGCTGCCTTATGGCATCACACAGAGAAAGATGTTGAAATTTACGCAATGTTACTGCAGTAAGGCCTCTCCTGCTGGCTGGCCAACACCTAAAACCCCCTTTTTGTTCGGCTATCTCCATCCCCACTCCCTGGCCTTGCACACCTGTGTGTGTCGCACCCTGTCACCCCTCAGCCCAACCACCCCTCGCCTCCCGCTGCCCCACCCAGCAATGACAAACAAACGAAAAAGAAGCCGTTTATATATGACAAATATATCCTTTATTTTCCAGAAAACGGCCAACACCGGGCGGGGGACGAAGCCAGGCGGCCGCACACCGAGTCCCGCCCGCTCCTGAGGCAGCTCCACCGGCGCCATCCCCGGGGCCAGGCCCAGCCCCGCCGCGGGCCGTGGCTGCCCCCTGCCGGGCCCGGGGCGGCTATATTCAGCGTATAATTATATTTAACCCTTAAAAAAGGGCTTCCCGCTATCGCCAGTTGTAGTAATTAGACTTCTTTGCCCCCATTTCAGTCATGGTTCGCTACTGGGATAGCACTGAAGAGCGCAGCTGTGCTTTGAGGGACTGCGTGAGGGGACCTAAGGCCAGAGGCTGGGCACGAAGCGCTCCCTGCAGCTGTGTGAGGATACCACGAGCCCCAAATCCCACAGGTAAGTTCCACCTGTATGTAACACAAACAACTGGGATCAGTTAACTGGGAGCAGGGGAAGCTCAGGTCTGTATAGTGAGAGGAACCAGCAAAAGGCTAGAAGAGGGATCAAATCCTGCTGCAGCCTCACAGAGGGAATGCTTTCCTCCAACCCTGATAAATCACCTACATCAGCACAATACAGACACCTTTTTCCCCATACTACTGTACCTAGGCCCTGAGAGGCTCTTTGGGCTTGCAGATTACTCAAGACAGGCTGATCTCAGCTCATTTCTTGCTCAGTCTGTACTACCTCACTCAGCAGGAATCCAGGAGCACCTAATGCCCCTGGCCCCACGCTGTGTGCCCATCTCGCCAGCAAGCGCAGCTGTGGCTTGGCTGCCATTCCCTGCAGCCTGCAAGGAGCCCACCTGCCTGATATGGATGTGCCTCCCAGCAGCGCCAGCAATTAGCACATGCAGGAGAGGACCCAGGCAGGCAGGCAGGCTGCACCCCTCCTAATTGACTGAAGGAAGAACACTTGAACTTGCTCCAAAAGGAAGCAAAAGCTTCAGCCTCCCTGCATTCACTGACTTGCAGAGCTTGCCCAAACGTGCATGTAGGCATCAGCTTGCAGACAGGCAATTTAGAGGAAGCAGAGTTAGGCTAGCACAAGTCAGTTGGAGATATTGACCCTTCTGGCAGTTTGGAGGCACACCTTGAGCTCAGCTTAAACATGCCTTTCTTCCCTTCTCCACTCTCTGGGGAAACTGGCTCTTCACTTCCCTTTGCAGTCATTATTTTCTTCAGCATGACTCATTGCAACTGAAAGTCCATTGTATCCTTCAGCACTGTCTATCCAGGCCCCATGAGCCACACCACAGAGAGTCCTGTGGAAAACAAATCAGAGCACCTACACCCCTTCCATATAAGCAACTCCTGGGGACAAAGAGGCAAAGAATTTACCAAAGTGTTCTTTATTGTTCCAGTGTCACACAGGTTGCAATAGTCCAGTTTAGCTTAGGGCAAAGCTGTAGACCAATACAAAAAGCAAGATCCCCTAGAAAACAGCCACCCTCCCTCAGGTGATGATGGCACTGAGATCGACTAGTGCCGTGAAGAGCTCTGCTGGCAAAGCACAGCTAGCACACACACACAAAAGAAATCAAGAGCAATTCCTGAGCAAACAGCTGGAGCAGGCTGCCTGACAGCCTTCACTAGTGTTACATTCATCACAGCAGTGAGTTCGGGTGCTTTGCAGTGAGCTATCAGGGAAGAATAAGTGTTTGCAAAATGAAATAGAGGTTTTAGCTTAAAAGTTTGCCCTATGCCATGAATATAGGGAAAGTCAGCTTAGCAAGGAATGCAAACAGTGCCACAAAATGACAACTGCAGGTGCAAACGAGGAAATGCTAGAGGCGTGATAGTGCTTCAACATTTATTTTCCCCAAAGACACATAAAAGAATTAAAACAGTTCTAAAAACCACAATGTTTTATAACACTTCGCGATACATAAATACTAACTGTGCTTCCTGCTTAGACTAAGCAGCAGGGAAGTCTTTTATTCAGGCCTTTATGTCAGAAAGTGCATAAAGCTGTTTAAATTATTCAGGTACAGAACAAGTGACAGGAGAAATGCATGGCAGTCATTCCAGTTTAGTCCAAGACTGTGAAGTTCTCCTGAGTGGGATGTTCTGCTGTTGGTTGGAAGCCACGCTCAGCAGATACTGCTCACACTGGGTGCAGAGGTCTGCAGTCAGCCAGTTCACCATGGTCCTCGAGTAACAGCACAGAGGCCGTGCTAGGCAATGGGGCTCCAAAATAACAGGCACACTGGAGCAGGAGATGGAAAAAACAAAACAAAACAAAAAAAAACATGAAAACTGACCTGGGTATCTGTTAGAGGGTACAGAGTTTTTCCACCCTTCCCCCAGGCCAGATCCAACATTAAGTGATTTATCTAAATGCATGAGTGTGGGCAGTCAGCTCCACCTGGGGAAGCTACCAAGCACCAGAGCAGCTTCATTTACTGACACCTCTGTTGACTAACACAACATTTCAGCTTAAGGGTTAATGGATATCTGACTGATCCAAGGTTATGGCTGAATCCTTACAGCATGCGCTGTAGGATGTTTCTTTGACATCTGGAAGGATGGCAGTAATGCCATCACTGAGACCTCCTTCTGCAGCATCGGCAAAGGACTGTCCATGATAACGTCAGTAGTGAACACTGAGGTAAGAGCATTTGAACCAGAAACCACTGCAGCTATTTTACTTACATTAAAGAACAGTTTCAGAGAGAAAAGATACCTGTTCACCCAGTAGAATATATACAAACATGTATTTGGAAAGAAGAGAACAGAACCTATGTTTCCAGTCCTAGATATTACACTTACACTCACAAGGTCTGCCTTTTCCACTCAGAAGCTTATTTTGCAAAAATTCCCTTTCCAGGGACAAAAAGGAAAGGGTATGTCTAGGGGAGGACTCAGGAAACCAGTTGTTGCATTACTCTTAGTTATACCTAAACAAATCTAAATGAAGCTAAATGAATCATCCAGCATAACATGCAGTTGACCAGCACAGGACTACACAGAGTAGTTGCTATCACAGTTTGTTGATTTGCATGTACAAGTAACAGGTACCACCTTTCAAGGTGAAACCGTATCTGTCCCAGCCTACCTAGAACACTCCCAGTGCTCTACTTCATGCAGCAACTCCGAGTTCTTCCTCTCCTGTGTAGCTGGGTCTTCCTCTCTGGAGAGCCTCACAAGTTTTAAGAAGTGGAGTGGGAGATGAACACACGTTCTGAAGGGCACGGACATCTACAATCACAGCACAAGTCACTCGAGTTCTCAAGGAAAACCTCCTCCTTAGCAAGAAAATTTGCATGGCATGTAGTTGATTTATTACCGCACTTACAAGATAAACATTAATGCAGTGAACTCCCTGACCCTTGTATAAATAGAGCACGGAGTAATCCCAACCACTTTACACAGGATCAAAGAAAGAGGAGCCAGAGCTGTTTCAGCTGAACAGTCTGTCTGTCCTGGCTGCTTTTGCACCTTGTATTATGGCCTCTTTTCTTACAAAAAAAAACTAGAAGGTAGATTTGAGGTATCAGTGGGGTGAAGGAAAGCTTCCTATGACTAGGTGAGGTGTAGGAAAAAAAACAGAAAAAAAAAATTGCTGTTGTAAAGACTAGACTTGCCTTGATGCAGCAGTCACAGCAGACGACACTAAGAGAAAAAAATTCCCAGCATTATCATTTGGGTAAAGCTCAGCAGACAGCAATGCTGTAGCTAAGGGTGACTTTCCCAAAGCAGCCTTAACATGTGATCGTGGCACAATCACTTGATGGCAAAGGGAACAAGTCTAGAACACCCCATTTGGTTTTCCAGCCCTCCTGTTTATGGTAGTTTTAGCCAGCTGAAGCACATCAGCAGTCATAGCTTGAAGGCTTTATCTGCAAGTACCCACTGCTTCTCACCCAGCACCATCAGTTACTAAACTCCCAGTGGTTTGCTTGTAACCAATTCAATGCTTTGCTGCTGCTTCAAATAGATTTAAGTGAGCCTGAATGAGCCTGAAATTCTTCTCTCCCATGAGAAAAACAAATAAGTGGATACTTGTGGGTCTAACATCATTCCCAGTCACAAGGTCTGGAGTCTGCTTTTCCAGTCCTAAATGGAAGATTCTGCTGCAAAGCCTCTCCCAGAACCTCTCAAGCCCTTGACTGAAGTAAAATGCAACCTACAGAGCGAAATGAAGGGACTAATTGCTGAGAAGAACCAATAGCACAGTAAATTTGGTTATTGCTAGCTTAATACTAGGAGTTAATATTGATACCACTTCAGAGGCAAGTTTTTCCATCTCCTCTGCAGCTGTAGAGGCTTCAGCCAGGCTTGTGTAGTAAGGCAAAGCTGAAAGGCTAAGGAACCCGTTCCCATCCAAGTGCTCCAACTGTTTGAATACTGAGTGTTTCAGCACTGTTCTTTCACTCTTCTCCCTCCCTGTTCAGTCCCTTTGTACCAGCTCACCTGCTGCAGAGGTAACAGCTGTAAGGCCACTTCAGAAACATCTGCTTACGGCAGCTGAAACAGATCTGTGGAATGGAAAGTTATTTGTGAATGCCAACTGGAAATATCTTCCTACCAACAGCATCCACCGCCTGCCAAAGAGCAAGCACATAAACTAACCTTCCAAGGGCTTTAGATCCACATACAATAACAGAGATCCAAAGGATAGCAGAGAGACAGGAATTAAAGGCTAAAAAGGCAAAAAAAGCCTTATTTGTAAGCCTGTGTTTTTATGATGCAGAGGTTTGGGGCAGCTGCCAGACAACAGGAGTTTAAAAAAAGGCTCTTGAACAAACAATAGCTGTATTGTGCAAGAGTGTAACAGTAGCTAGTTAAGAGAGGGAAGAAGAGAGACATTCTTTGAGGTAGACTGCAGCAATCCCAAAGAGATTAAGTCAGGGCAACTTTGAATCCAATCCTGAAGCAAAAAAAAAAAAAAAAGTTATAAGGAAGCTGATGAGTCGCTTGAACTTTATAAAAAAGAACATTCATACACAGCTGGCAGTCAGAAGTGATATTATCTTGAGAAACAGCTTGAGAAAGCTAAAAAAACTTCAGCAGCAGGAACACAAAGAGGGTAAGAAGGCTATTTTAGCATAGGCAGAGAGAGGCAAGTTAAAGCAGGGTCGGTGAGCAAGGTGAGAAGAAAACGGATCCAGGAGCACAAGATAAAGAGGGTGGGGAAGTATCAGAGCTGTCTGCTAAATAAGTGAGGGCAAAAAGCTGGTCCCCAAAACAAGCAGCATGAACTTCTTCACACCTGTGTTGCAAAGGGCTTGCACTGAAGGCATCTGCTCTAGAGGGGCTCGATGGAACAAGCCCTCTAGAGCAGACTGGGTGAGTAAACAAGGGAGCAGCCAGCAGGCCTGTGCTGCAGGTTGTTCCCTGCCCCTCATCTCCCCAGCCTGTGCAGCCACCACTCAGCAGGGTGGTTCACATCAACACAGCTCAGTTAACTGTGGGAGTTAACAGCCTTTGCTTCACCATGTACCAAATCCCAGTCAAATATCTTTGTGATTTTAGAGCTGGCCAACAGGAACAGTTCTGCTAGCACGGAAACAACAGTCAAGAAGTATTTAGCAATGGCTGGGTTACTTCCTAGGCAACTTACACAGCTTATGTTTGATTAGAAGTCATCACAGCACAAGTATGAAAAGATTTCATGCAGCCGTGGGCCAAACTCAGAACAGCTGCATGAACAGGATAAATTGAGGCAGAGAGCACCTCAGCAGTTCGGCACTGAGGGACGTGAAGGCAGCCAGCTTTAGCAAAGGCACGGACAGCACAACAACAAGGAAAAGAAACTTACCTTTCCTCTTGAAGAGGCACCATCACTGCCTCCCTGGGAGACGCCTTCCCCTTCCAGCACTCTCATTGTGTATCTGGTTCCGATCAGTTCAGCAATGGTTGGTGATGGCCACATGTTAGGAAGGTGATGGTCCTATCCAAAGACAGGAGTTAAGCATCAGAGAAAGCTGAAGGCACACGTATTTGGGGAAGCCATCCTCAAAATTGGGTCCCAGGAGGCTCAGCAGCATTTGTCCCAAAACTCAGTTCTGCTAGCGATAGGCAGGAGGCGTTGACTGACAATACTAGTAAAGAACATGCAGGGAATCCTGCTTAGTTTTTGAGCTTATAGACAAGAATGCAAGCAGCTTCCTGAAGCAGGTCCTTCGGTCCCCATAGCAGTTAATCCCATCCCCAGAGCCAGTCTCTTGGGACTTCGATTTGTCTTACATGAGGAAGAACTCTTTCATGTTGTTCAAACTGAACGGTAAGAAATTCCACAAGGACACCACAGCAGCCTTGTTTTACACCACCTCCAAGGAAACAAATGTCCCAACTGAAGATTAGCACGCAACTGGGCTTAAGTGAAACCAATATAACGTGATCACTGCATGCACAAGGTTCAAGGTGCCTTCTGGAGTCACCACCAGATGTATCAGAACAGCTTGCCAGCTGATATGCCCCACTTACACGTTCCCTGCTTTGAAGGCCACTCTCTAAAGATTTGGATCTTGCTCTGTAAGGAGGCAGCTGCTGTTGGCCAGCGTTCAGGGAACACTCAGATTTGATGTCTGCCAGCATGGGTGCACTCACGGGAGGACGTGTACAATCTGCAGTGAGACCTGGGCAGGAAGAGAGAGTTTCGGATTGCAGAAAGAAAAAAAGGAATATCAACTTCTAAATATTCTCCCCAAAAGCTGACTGCTCAATAGCATTACCCCTCCTTTCTGAAAGCACCAAGGCCTGCTTTCCCAGCCCTCAACCTCCATCAGCCCTGATCACAAAAAGCAGAGGTTACAGTAATTACAGTTGTCAGTAGAGTGATGAGCTTTTGATAGTTAGCACCATTTAGTTTAATAAAATGTGCTTTCTTCTTGAACATTCAAAATGTTCATTTAGCTTTTACTGTGATTGCCACTTATGCCTTCGGGGACATGCTATCATTGCTTTGAAGCTGCAGGAGCCATACAAGCTTCAGTCAACTGCAGAGGAATGGTTCCCTAAGTGCACCTCCCTAAACTCATTAATTGATGTCAGAGCTTCTCCTCTGTCAAGTGTCTTTAGGCGATCAGAGAGGTGTAGCACAGTGAGCCCCAACCTAAGGCTTTGGCAGCCCAGCAGGCACTGACTCTGAATGCACTTTATCACCACCAGGTTTGGGTTTGGATTTGCATGAAAAAGGAGACTGACCTGTGCTCTTGCAGGACACTGATGACCTGGCTGAGGCAAGGTGGGTGCTGGAGGACAGCTTGGGAGTAGGCTCCTGTGGATCAGAGGATGAGGTATTCTTAAGCTGCACACAGGAGAGACCAAGCCCACTTGTTCAGAAGCACTGCTGCTAAACAAAACACCCAGGACCCAGAACTGACCAGAAATAGTCCAAGGCTTAGTCAGTAGTGGAGGGGAGAAAAAAACAAAAACTGTGGTATATTCAAAAACTTTGTGTTCCAAGAAGCAATTACAAGTTAATTGCCCCCAGCAAGGAAGCTCTGGTCAATCTGTGACATTTCAGATTCCCCTGTTATCTCCCTCACTTAGCTCAATGCAGATTTTAGCTTCATCTGGTCAGGAACCAACTACTCTAGATTCTTCCTTCACAGCTTTCAGAGTACCTTGCCATTTTCTTGGCTCCAGCTCACACGTAGCAACACTGGAGAAGAAGAAACTATGCCCCAGTAACCCAGTTCAAACCCAATGCTGTATCTAGGCAGCATTTTCTAACTTCTCTAGATAATTAGGAACACAATTCAATCATATTGCAGTCTCCATAAAGAAGGTCCTTCCAGCAATACACCAACCACGTGCTCCTCAAGCACCGAGCATTCCTACAAGTAGCACAGACTTGTACAAATATAGCTACATTTTTCTGCTTTTATTAATTCATATCCGTTTTCCTCAGTTAAGCAATTGTATTCCAGGCTGATGTTTACAGAAAGCAGATTGCTGATTGTTTGCCAGAGCATCTGTGCTAGACACGATGTGTTAGGGCTCAAGTTCTGTTCCACAGAGTTTCCGACTACGCTCAGACTGAATCCCAGAACCGAGCAGTGGAGCTTTTCATCAGCAGTCTGAGGAGTTAAGGAACCCAGGGACCACATGTCCCAGTTTATGGGAGAATGGTACTCCTTCAGTTGCTCCACAGGCAGAAGAGTGGGAATTCACCAGTGAAGATGCTTCCTGAAAATAAATCACGTGAAATGCAAATACTCCTAGCATCAGCTGCCTCACTGTGAGGTAAAGTGGGAGTAGTTTTGGCCCATATTGGTCAAACTTCTGAGCGTATCAAGACTTCTGCAAACCCTAATTTTAGAGACCAGATCAGAAGTTAGCTTTTACAGGCTGCAGTCATGCCACAATGAAGTGTTTAAACATCACATGAGCTTCTGTAGAGGCAAGGCCTTCAGTGAACCTAATAATGTCATGTTTATTCACTTTAGATGGACAAGATTACTCACACTAAGATTTAAACCTCATGTTCTAGGATGTGTGTGTGTACAGATCCAAAGCCCAGACCAGACTATTTACACCTCTCCAGTCCCTTCATTTAAAGCCTTACCTGAACTTCTGGTCCCAGCTCCTGTGCTACAGCACTGACAGTTTTAAACTCTGGACTGGCATATTGAAATGTTAAGAAACGATCACTTGGAGATCTCAAGGCGATTTTAGGCATCACAGGCATTTCTGAGGGTTGGGAGAAGGGAAGAAAAACACACACAAGATAAGACATTTTGCTGTGGCAAGAAAATAACAGATTTTATACCCACAGATCAGAATTTGGTATTTGGTTTAACTTTGTTCTGTTAGATAGTCTTTAGTTTCAGGTGATGGTTAAAATCCTGTTCTCTAACTTAGCTGACAAATTTGAACTCCCTAAAAAAGGGTAGTGTTGAAACATTTTCAAGTCTTAATACACCACAAGTAGATTTTCTAAAGAATTCTTGTGCCATATCACCTTTATCAATATAAAATTCACATTCCCACCTCTCTTGCATTATATGCTATGGGAAAAAAAAAGTGGGCTTCCATTTCAAGGGCCATCCCTTATTTTTAGCCAGCCATGACTTCCCTTGCACGCTTGATGGGTCCCTTTGCAGCAGGTACCTGTGGGCCTGCCCCCGCTTTCCCTTGCTGTGGATGGCTGCGGCGTCTGGGGTCGCTTTGTTTCTGCCAGGAGCTGTTGGTGCCACCTGGACTCCTGTGGCACGCACTCTCTCAGCTTCCTCTGCAGCACCTGCAGGCAGAGCATAGCACCAGAGAGAGACAGGAAGAGTGAGACCAGTGGTGACAACTGGATCTTCAGCAATGGCACTGTTCTACAGCTGCCTCTCCCTAAAAGGGCTCTGGGCCCTGTGCACTTGTGCTTTCCATACCTTATTTCTGGTTTTTGAGGCACATGAGAAGCTTCAGATAGCGTGTTTGCTGTCAAATACTTTTAGAAACTCTCAAATTTGAGGCAAGGCTTGATCAAAGAGTGTGGAGTATTTTCGGGACCACAAAATGTTCCAGATGGAAGAAACAGCAACAGAAATAGGGAGACTGATCTTTCTCCCCTGAAGATTTGTCACCTACCATGTTCCTGACGTGGTATGTTGGCAGAGGGTCTGCCCAAAATTTAAGTATGGCTCACACATGCCTCTCCCAAACCCAAGCCAGTAGCTAAGACATTAACTCTATATTCTTACAAAACATCCCATCAGCTCTGCAGGTCACCTACAGGTTTCAGATGAGGCTTGGGAGCAGCTACATCATCACTGGGGGTCCTGCGTTTTTGCTCGACGATCACCTGAAAGAACAGAAATTATGCTTAAGCAATAAGGTTTTCTCTACTCCTCATACATCTTTCTGGTCAGTGGCACAGTTAACTCAAGTCAGAATTTGGGAGTGAGGAATGTGGGGAAGACTTAAAAATGGCACAGGGAAATACAGAACGATGAGGTGCTTGCTGCAGAGGGGAGCACTGCAGAAAAGAAGTCAAGCTGCCTCCAGCTGCCTGGTTCACTTATTCTTACTCAAAGGCGATGCTATTTACTCTGTGTGTACAAGTGGAGAACACGTGGGAGTGCAGGTAGAACACCACAACAGCTTCCCACACTTGCTGGGCTCTCATTCATTTGCAAATTAGACCACTGTTTGCTACAGGAGTTTAAAGTAGCTTTGCAGATGGGGAAATCCTCGCTGAAGAGCTTTCACAAAGGCCTAAGTAGTAAGTACTCCGTGCTTCCTTCTAGCATTTGGGACTTCAGACTGAAGCTTGTGCTTCTCATCAACCCCGGGAAGAAAAAAGGAATCAAAAGGCAGTTCATTCTGCCACCTGGAGCTACAGTTTTGTACTGCACAGTGCAACGATTCTGTCGTGCACTGCAAAAAAATACAAGTAGTTGATGTATTTTCTCCCTTCTGTTACTATCCATTTATTTATTGAACAAATTATCAGTCTCCAGACAAATGCCAGAGCCTTTTCGGAAGGCTGGAGCCACAGCCAAGGAAAGTGAGAACTTCTGTAGGGGCGCATGGTTTAGCTGCAGCTGTTAACCCCCTGCACTCAAGGAGCACCATCAAGGGGAGGAAAAAAAGCTGCTGTCTAGCATGGTAAGCAAACTTTACACTTTCTAAAATATTGCTCTTTATTACAAGTAGAATCGTCTCATCTCCTGCCAAGATGTCTGTTTGCAAAGCACGCCAAGGCCACAAAGCCTCATGCCAATGTTTTAGATCTGCTCATCGCTCCCAGCTCAAGCTGCAGCAAGTGAACAGCATCCCAAACCTTCAGAGGCACTCAGACGTTTTTGTATCCGGGCATCTTCAGCACCATCAACATTGCTGGAAGCCCCTACCTCTTGAGTCAGCACCACAGCCCCTGGAAGCAGTTTGGATTTATTTTTTTTAAAAACCCTGCCTAAATTCCTGCAGCAGCCTGTTTACACTGCCTACAGGCCTCTGCCCCAGGCTGAGCAGAGCACTCGCTCAAAAGTGATTTTACACTTTCATGCATCCCACAGCAGCTGAAAAGGCAAGAAAAACTAGTAAGAAATGCCAGACAGTACAGCTCTAGGAGCCTGTGAAGACATAAAGGTCTGAGGAAGAAAGCATAAGCAGGCAAGGGTCTGTTTCATGGAGCTGCTGCCCTGTAGGGAGAACAAGTTTACCATCCAGCTTCATAAAAGTCTGGCTACTCCTGAAATAAAACAGTGCTGGAAATAAAGTGTTTGGGTGGATAAACGTGGTGATCAAATATAGAGTTACAGCTGAGAGGAAGCTCCAGACAGTTCTGGACTAGGAGTACCTTTGAGAAAGGCTTTAAAACAAGATTTGGGGAAGAGGTTTCAGCAAGGATGGTTTAGAAACCAAGTAGTTAGAGCAGGTGGTTGCAAAACTGTCTACTGACGGTAGTCGGTCAGTCACTCACCTTCCGAAGGTTGTACCTCCTGTGCTGAATGTCATCCAGAAGTCGTTCATAGGGGGAGCAGGCACGCTCTTTGAGCGGGGCAGGGCACTGCAGTCGCTCGGTGGCCTTGCGCAGCCTCACCCCAGCCTGCAGCTCACAGATGATGCTGGGCCACAGGGGTGCCTAGGAGAAGCCAGCGAGGGACAAGTCACCAGCGGGCAGAAACACACGGAGCAGCATCCTCACCCTCCCTGTCACAGGGCACACTTAGCAGCTTAGGTCTTGCAGAAACACAAATGTGTCCTTAACGCCCCCTTCAACCCACTTGTGGGGCACAGTACCAAGATGTAGAATTGCTTCTCTCTACAGAATCACTTTAAAATAAATGAGTTGGTTCCCCAGTTCATTCCTGAATGTCGTCATCAACTTTATGAATATACTTCAGCAAAACAGCTTCTCTTACTAGGTACCTAGGCCCATTTTCTTGAATAAGTGCTTCTTGGAAGTACTGCAGGTGCTAGACGATTTTGTTATTGGTTTTTTTTTTTCATCCTTCTCCATTTTATTACCTCCTAGGAAATGCTGAGAATGAAATCCCAAACCTTACCATTAAAATCCTCTGAATTTTCAGAAGCCAAGGATTGAAGGACCCACAGACCAAAGAGGAAGACAAAGGGAAAAAGATCTCCCACTTCCACCTTTGCAGCAGCTTATGCTAGCTTTTTCAGCCTGGAGACACAATCTGATAACACTGACATCTGCTCATCCTCTTCCTGTATTAATACCTGTTTCCACAGGATGCTCAGGCACGCAGGATAACCCAACAAAAGTTAAGACAGGAAAAAAAACATAATCCACTCAATAGCCTGTTTAGACAACATTGTAATGGAAGTGCTAAGTCAACAGCTTATCTGGATCCCAAAGGCAAATTGAGTAAGAACGAGTGATTGTATTATAAACAGTGAAAAGGAAGTAAAACATTTTTAAAACTGCCTCAGAACAAAGCTTCTGACTTGAATTCCTCTCCCTCTTTCACTTACAGGGTGAAGCACCTTCTCTCAACTTATCCCTTGAGATATCTTGGTATAATATCAGAAAAGTCTTATGCAAGCTCTGACTGATGGGCTGCCTTCAAGGAGAAGGATGCTCAGTAGGATTGTTTTAGCCAGGCTTTGGAACAGTTGGATCTCAACTCCAGACCAGCAGGACACTCAGACAGTAGCCACACACTAGCCATATCTCCTGGATTAACATAATTACTGTTTGGGAGAACACAAAAAAAAATAAAAATCAAAGTCCTACTGAAGAAAGAGTTGGGCAAACTGATCAGTGTTTGCTTCCTGTACAACACCAAACACATTTCATTCTTTTCATTCATGGGAAGACAGCTGTTCATAAGAGGTCTCGGTGCTTAGATTTCAAGGTGAAGAGTGTCCTCTGGCACACACGGTCAGCTCTGCTGAGATGGTACAGCCCTGCATGACACCAGCTTGTGGCCTGTGTTTCAGAAGCCCTTTTTTCAGAGCAGCCAGGATGGAAAAGCCTGGTCCACAGACAGCGTTAACTGCGTGGCACCGCTCAAGGCATCAGCTCCAATCTGCGGGCTCCCAGCAAAGCTGGCACCCTGGTTATTTTAAACTCAAGAGTGTGTCGGAACGATGCAATCGAGCGGTGCACAGGGAGTTGGAAACCAGAGGCAGAGGATTTGCAACAGACATCCTGCTTTTGGAATTTATGTCTCCTGAAGGAGCAGAGGCCAAATACACTGGCCTTCAGGCCACACGGCAAAGCCCATATATTTATTCATGTATTCCCTGCAGAAAAGAGCATCAACTGCTGTTGATGAGTTTGTGGTTTGAGATAGCTTGCCAGTTTATTTTAATAGATCACAAAATTGAGAATATGCCCAAACACACATTTCACAAACATTTTCATACGAATAGTTTGAGCACGCTTCAAAGCGAGTGCTATTTAGACAAAGGGAGCGAGTCCACAAGTCTCTCGGGGCTTGCCGTTTGTCTCCACAGACTCCAGACTACACTGCATTTGTTTATGCCGGGCAGAGCTCCAGCCAGAAGAGCTATTTGTTTCTGATTGAGCCCTAGCTATGGAGGGCCTTGAAAAGAACAGAGGGAGTTGCTTTCTCTGCCCCAAACGCACAGTCCAAGATCTACAGAAGGACGGAATGGAAGGACAGGAAAGATAATGAGCAGGAGGTAGGAGCTACATCTCCAGTCTCCCCCTCCTTTCTGCCTTTTTTGAGCTGCTGAAGCTCAAAAGGATGGTCAGAGCTACCAAATACCTTTAGCTTCTCCAGCCCTGAACCAGCACAGACCCCACGCGATAAAATGATCTCATCCACCTTATTCCTGCCACCAAGAGATCAGTTTTCTGGGAGCTGTCAATCCAGCTGCAGAAGGAAGCAGGCTGCTTCTGGCAGGTATCAATTCCTGCCAAGAGATGGAGTTTGGGGCTCATTTTCAGGAAGAAACAGCATGAGAAACTACTTGTGGACACTTATTCCAAAGAGTGCCTCCAATTTCACTTTTAGAAGTGGTTTAAGTTGAACCACAAAGAGGCTCTTTGTGCAGAATAAGTGTCCGCATGAGGTAAGCATATGAAATAATTTAACTTCAAGTTCACTCCCAGCTTGTTTTGCAGACAAGTCTTTAACTACTTAGGCTCTTGAACAACCTAAGAAGTTTTGTTGGTGTTCAAGCTCCCTTCTTTGTTTTATAGAGAGTCATTGGAAAACCTCAGAGAAGCATGGGTGGACAAAAAAAAAAAAAAAAGCCCAACCTACCATAATGAAGGAATTAAATCCCTTACCCTCTGTTTTTCCTTCTTCTGCAGGGGGGTTTCCAGCAAATCTTCAACATCCATTTTTCTCAGACTCTGAGAAGCGAACAAATGAGGTCATTACGTTGGGCTGTCCAGTGCTTTTTCATCTATCCAGTATGAATTATTAACGTTGAAAAGCTTAGAAGCCCCAAACACCCAGACATTCAAAAGCTACAATAAATCACTACTGCGTTGCAGAGACAGAAGTCATTCACATAATCAAAATAGCCCTTCATCTAGGTACTCCATTTCTAGTGCAACAGGAAGAGTACTTTATAATTAGATCAATTTATGCAGGTAGAAAGGATAGTAGCTAAGGGGTGATCCCAAATATACCTCTTTGGAGGTCTGGATGATGGACACAAGCTTCTGAAGTTCCATAAATTCAGTAAAAAGACTCCTACAGGTCATTTCATAATGGCTCTTAGCCTCAGAAGGCACAGACAAGCGCTCCTCACAGGCCTGAAAGAAGTGGAGCTATTTAATAGAGAGATCTTGAAATGAAAAAACATGGAAGGCTGGAAGAAAGCAAAATTCAATTTCTTGATGTATGGTTAAAAATTATCTTCCTCAGTTCCATTGTATCTTTTCTGTTTGTTCTATTGCAGATGCAGAGGAGCAAAGAAGCAAAATGCCTAACCTCACACGTACAATAACTTAAGTAGCTGTGTGTAATTTATCTATCTTGTTCTCCATAATGTATGCTTTGAAATAAGTGCCTGGAAGGAAAAGCTTCCAACACACACACACACCCCACAACAAAACAGCAGGTGCAGTCACTCCTCATGTTCTTTTTCCCCCTTGCTCCCCTACCCTGATCAGACTGGGGCATGGAAGGTGTCTTGTACCCTTAAATTATGGTTGAGAGGAAGCTCTTAATTTGAGTTGTGACATCTGAGTCCTCTTGCAGAGACCAAATCTTATGGATATTGAAACAAGTCACTTGTCCAGTCATCTAGCTATTGAATGCTGCCTTTTGTGACTATGCACAGAATGACTTTGTAGACAGAGCTGCAAGAGCCATGCTCAGTCTTCTTTATTAGTTCTTTTCCATAGGCACTTCAGCGCACCTAAAATGTTTTTGCCTTCCCCTTCTGATGGGAAAGCCGTGTGTTCCCTTCTATGTCCTCCCACAAGCTACCCAGCTTTCCCCCCTACATGGTCTGTCATCTTGGTTAACAGCATTGTTAACCTTCAGCTCCTCCAAAGCTGCTGCATTTACTAAGCAGGAAGAAGGAAACCTGGATAACATCCTGCAGGGTGACCGCTGGCTTCATTGCCTCATCATCCAGCTTCAACATAAGGCAGAGCAGCTTCTCCAGGGGCTCACTCAGTTCTCGCTCCACTTGGCTGTCGATTCCCCAGTCCAGGGCTTCATAGATCACCACTCCCAAGTACTCCAGCAGCTGCAGACAGAGGCCAAGGAAGCAGTGCAGCACCAAGTGTTGTGAATGACCTGCACAGCCCTCACTTCCCAGCCATGGGGGGCCCTCTGCTGCCCTCACAGCTGAGCACAACGCTCAGGATGAGAAGGGCTCCAAAAGCAACCTGGTGCTCATCAAGTAACCTGAAACACTCCCCAGATAAGCTATTTTACACTTTTAAAGGATTTATCTAGCACCTCTAAACGATCTGTTACCAGGACAAAAAGTCTGTGGGCTGTTCCAGGGTACACAACATCTGTGCACATTGTTTTAATTGAGTTCACTCCTAGCATCTTGTTTCATTTTCCAAATTGCAGGGGACAGTGACTCCCGCAACGCTCAGCAAGTACAGACACCTTGGCAGTTTTAGACACCAGCATCTCCCAGGCTGGCCTCCTACAGCTGCAGGATTGTATCTGCACACATAGGAAGGCAAAGAGATGGGCTTACCTTGTCCTCTGACTGCTGAATGCTGCCAACATCTGAAAGGGAAACAAGAGAGGAGGTAAGGGGAATGTAACTGCATAGGCCTTGATAAACAGCTTTTAATAGCTTCTGTTGAGAGACAGAAATTGGAAGAGTTCTTGGTAGTAAGGAAACAAATCCTTCTCAATAAGGTCAGTCCCACCCGAGGAAACCAGGCCTGCATTTGCTGCAGAGCAATACCAGATACTCTTTTTGCTTACTGTGAGCATTAGCCCCAAACTAACTGCTACTGGTTGCTTCCTTTTGTTTGCTGGTAGGTATCTAACCACAAGGAAGGCCATGGATATTTATCTTCTTTCTTTACTACATGCATACTCTTGCCCCCTCAGAGCAATGAACTCTATAGTAGTGCAACTACATAAGACAATGCTTGTTGCTGTTTGCTAGCTGCACATAGTGATAAAAAAAAAAAGTCAGTTTTAGATTTGCTTGAGAGTTAGTAGAAGGGAGCCAAAGCTCAGAGATGAACAGAGCAGGACATGAAACAATCTGAGGCTTTATTTTAAATAACATTTTCTTTAACGTAAGTTGTAATAAGCTTTCATCTCAGCTATTCCCTTGGCCCTTTAAAATAAAACATAGGCAGCAGAACAGCCTGTACAGTCAGAACACACTGAAAAACATATAGAGGAGGAATAAAAAAAATTTCTCCCACTTTGCCCCTAAGTTTCAGCCAGTTATAACAACCCCTAGCATCCTCAGCTGGTCTCACTCTTACCAGACTTATGGTACACCCTGAAGGAAGCAGTGCCATCAGCGTGAATAAAAATGCTCCCCGGGCCTTTTATGAACACGGAATGGAGCGACGGGGACAACCCCTGCGCCAACTGCTTCATCTTGCAGCAGCACTGAAAGCAAAGCGCCCAGGCTTGCCCCTCGCTTATGGGGTGCTCGAAGCACCTCAGGACCTCAGCCAGAGACACCTTGGCAGCCCTCTGCTCGCAGCACGGGGGCTCCATGTGCACCCTCACACCTCACATCCCAGGCTGTGCCCCCAGCCTAGGAGCTCAACACCCCATCCAGGACAGGGGCTGCTGGCGCAGCAGCCTTTTATCAGCTCTGCTCTCCCACAGCTCCCTCCCTCCCTCCCAGGTGCCATCGTTAACGCCAAATTTGCTCCACATTTTTTTTTTTTAAAGGGACGCCGCTTTGACAGAAACAAGGTGAAGTGTATAGCAAAGGGGCTTCCGAAAAAAAGACACAAACTAGCGAGATCCGTGTTTAATTCAACTTTATTCCTTCAACCCTAGAGCAGCCGCTGGAGGGTGCCCGGCTCCCCTCAGCGCGTCCCGCCCCGCCCTGACGGGGACAAGATGGCGGCGGGCGAGGCGGCGTGGAACCGGCTGGAGCTGGCGTGGCCGGCCGGCAGCCACACGCTGCCCGTGGCGGCCCCGCACCCCGCAGGTCCCCGGGACGGTTATGGCGGGTGGGTTGGCGGTTGTGGCGGTTGGGCTGGCGGTTGCGGCGGTTACTGAGTGCCTCCCGCCCGCAGTGAGGAGCCTGCCGGAGCTGAGGCGCCGCTGCCTGGCGGCCGTGCGGGGGCTGCGCGGGAAGGGCCCGGCCGTGGAGGGCGGCGTGCTGAGGGGGCTGCTGTACGCATACCGCCGCAGGCTGCTCCGGCACCGGCCGTACCTGGCCCTGCAGCAGGTGAGTGAGGGCTGTGGGGAGAAATAGAAAATAGCACAAAGCCGTATGCATGTAAAAAAAAACACCACAGGTTTCTTCGTCTTTGCGTTGTGCCCGTCGTTAAGTCGCGTCGGATCAGTCCGGTGTGGGTTTCCAGGCTCTCTGCTGTCAGTGCGCTTTGTAGGTTGGCACTGAGGAGACATTTCTCCTCAGAAAGAGCAGGCAGGCACTGGGATGGGATGCTCAGGGAGGTGGTGGCGTCACCGTCCCTGAGGTGTTCAAGGAGAGGCTGGACACGGTGCTGAGGGACATGGTCAGTGGGTGACACTGGTGGCAGGGGGATGGTTGGACCAGATGATCCTGGAGGGCTTTTCCAACCTTAATGTTTCTGTGATCCTATGAATTTGCACTCTTCAGCCTTTTATAACTAGTAGTCAACCCTCTCTTGCTTGTACCAAGACCTGAAGTATGCACAACTGTGTACCGTTAAATATTAGTACAGGGATTTGAATCCCAATTAATTATAATGGGGAGGGGGGGAGGAGCAACCACAGGCCACTCTCTCAGGTACTTCATTTAAGACAAAAACTGAACTCACCATTCACAGTAGTGCTTATAGTGACAGTTCTGAGACCAAGGCACTCACATCTCAAAGCACCAGTTTTGAGATGGAAGGAATTCTCTTTTCTCTAGGTGGAACAATGCTTGAAGCGCCTGTGGAAGATGAACTTGGTGGGCAGCATTGAAACGCTGGCAGAACTGATTCCCAAGTAAGCATCATGATGCTGTACATTATACTGCCCTTTGGCTGAGTCTTCAGAGCTAAACATCTCCTTGTCTTTGTATTGCCACAGGAAAAATAAATTTGAGGCCCATGCGGAGTACTTAGTTCCCAGCCAGCCTATGCTGGAAACGGTGGCTGTGAAGGTACTGGGAGGCTGCAAGCTCATTCTGCGTCTGCTGGACTGCTGCTGTAAAGCATTTCTGTATCCTTTTCTCACTGCGTGAACATTCCTACAGGTCACCAGTTTATGAGACCAAAATCAGGTCTGCTGTAGCACCTGTATTGCTGATGGACTCAGCAGTGCAATTCATGTATGCAACTTGAAGCTTCTTTGATAGCCAAACATCTCATTTTCAAGTTATTAAGTGGGAACCCCGGGCTGTTGGCTGGCTGCTCTCCTCTCCTTGAGCAGCCCAAAGTTTTGATACTCATCTCCCCAAATAATCTAGGATATTGCCTTGCGAGCCGCCTCTAGTTGGTGTGTTCAGCAAGCTTCATTACAGGCTGTTTGTTTTTTAGCCTTAACTGGTGTAATCTCCAGCTTGTCCGTTAAGCACCTCTGCTCACAAGAATACATACTTCTGAACACCGTGGCTTCGGGGTTGTTGAGCCGGCTATGGTTTGTGTAGTCAAGTCTTGTTTGTTGTCTGTTTGACTTGCCTGTCAGGGAGAAGGGCTTGTAATTAAAGTCTTGCTGCTGAGTGAGCTTTATTCAGCTGGGAGGAGAGGGGGAAAATGATCTTATGAATCAGAGATCCCTCCATCCTTTTGGACCTGATTCTAGCACCTGAAGAGTTGTATGTATAAGAGGAGGGAGACTTTTTGCATGCTGTTCCGGAAGGCTTTGTTCTTGGTTCATAGCAGACTTTGTGGGGTGCTGGTAAAACCACAGCGTTAACAACAGCCTGCCACAGACCCTGGCATCTGGTACTCCTTGCAGCGAGCAGTAAGCCTGCCTCATGCTGAAATGGAAGGGCTGTGATAAAGTTATTCTACATCACTGCTGGATTTTTCAGGGAAATCCTCTTTGCTAGTCCCACACTGATGATAAACGTGCCTGAAAGGTGGAAGGTGTCGGCAGGGGGAGCTCCGACTGATATTGAAGGAAAACGTGGTGGTGGAGTGTGAAAAGTGCACTGAGGGGGAGTAGAGGGGAAGGGCAGCTTGGGATCTTTCCTTTGAGCTCTTCTTCTTGAGTTGAAGGAGTTGTTCCGTGAGTGCAAGCACAAGGTCTTGCTAGAGGAGACTCCAATCTCTTCTCTCCTCAGGATTCAGTACAGATGCATATTGCAGAGCCTCATTTCCTTGTACGGCGTGCTGTCAGCATCACTGCGTCTGGTGTCCGAGACCCAGCAGATGCCTTACATTAAGGGGTTTGCCTTCCCGTCTGATATCAGAAACTTTCTTGGAGCTGACCTTTCTTCTGAGGTGAAGAAGCAAAAGGCTGCAATACTAACAGCAAAACGACCCACCAGCTGGGTGAAGAAGCTTTTCCCAGACATGCCAAAGGAAGAGTCAGAGGCTGGGAATGGTTTTGTGACCTGTGAGAGTGCTATGAAAAACCCAAGCATCCCTATGGATGTTGGAGAGCCAGTTCTGGTGACCAGAGAGAACAGAGGTAAGGCCGCATGCCGCGGTGCCACTGCTGTCTGGCAGCTGAGGTGACCGCAACCTATGCCCAACACAGCCAGGCACTTTACTACACAGAGGGGGCGTTTTGACTACAAACTCCCCTCTCCTGTCCTTGGAAGAGGAGGAGAGTGTTGAATGCAGGCATGAGCCTGCTGAGAGGGAAGGAGAGCCGAGAGCTCCACAGGACAAAGCGGTAGTGTCTGTGTGCACAGGCTTAAAACTCGAAACCTCATAACGGGAACGCTGCTCTCTTCCTCCAGGAAAGCAGCTGGGGCTTTGACGTGAAGAGCTTACTTAGACCATCCAGACCTCCAACACAAGAGGTGTGTGTGCCACCATTTTACACATTCTTTATTTTAACTTCAAAGCTCCTAACACTGTGATGTAACTTCTAAAAGGTAACTATTTCTGTTATTCCTTGTTTCAGGATAGATACCTTACATCAACACCTTTTAAAGAAATGCCAGAGTCGCTCTCCTCTTACATGGTGAAATTGCAGCACACTGGGTCTCTCTTACAGCTGTTCCAAACAGCTGCATCTTTTGGGGAGCTGTCAGAGGCACTCAGAAAAGCTATTCTGTGGTGCAAAGGCCACAAACTCAAGCCAGCAGCTTATTTTTTTCGTAACAAATTGTTGAAAAGCAACCGGCTACACCATGTGGAGGCACAAGGATGCAGGTATGTTGCACATGCAGGGGGTTCTGGATCTGGCACTACACCTTAATGTTGTGTTTTGCTGCAGTGCAGGGAAATGCAGTGATCTAACCCCTTTTCTTGAGCTGCAACAGGATCACTACTTCAGGTCACTACATGCTGTGATGTGAATGTTCTGTTTGTTTTGATTTGCGAGAGGATTTAAAAGGTTAAGAGATGCACAAATACAGAATAAAGCAGGAGAGTGAAAATGCAGTTTTAACCACAGGCATGTAAGTGGTAACTGCTAGATGATGTTAGGGGTGCCAGGCTTCTTCAGAAAGCCCTAGCTAGTATTCTACAAGATGCTGTTGTATCTCGTGGGTGTGACAAGTAAAATGGTAGAGAACGCCAATAACCAAATTGCTGAGAGCACCAGAAGTAACTTAACAGCTGTTAAAAGTTCTGTTTTGTTTCTGTTTTGCACCTTCCTTTCCTTAAGCCTGCGGAAGAAGCTGTGCTGCGTCAAAACCTCTCTCTGCAAGTACCTCCTGTGTGGCTCACAGCGCAGGCGCTGGCCAAGGCAGTACCTGGGGGCACAGCTCTGGCAGAGGAAGGTGAAATTGTCCAGGCGCTTGAAGAGAACTCGGACTGCACGGCCAAACCAGGCTGAGCTTTTTGGAGTCTGTGAGAACGGGGCTTTGCTCCGCGTGGGGCCTTCAGGTCAGGCTGGACCTCCCATCGCTTGTACAGCCGCTGACAAACTGAGCGTGGCAGGGACCCCGAAGCGGTTGCTTCCTGGCTCCGTGCAGGAAGAAGTCTCTGACAACACGGATATCGATGCTATTTTTGCTGCAATGGGGGTCTGATCTTGGACTGGGAAGATCAGGGGGTGTCTTTTTCTATGTAAAACTCTCAGAATACTTGCAGTGTTTTGGTAACTCGTACCCTACATTCTGCTAAGAAAATATTTCAGTATATTTTTATAAAATAGTATTTTTTTATTGGAACAGTGTTCAAAACTACTGAGCAATCTTTATCCTTTCACCTAGACCTTTCAGGAACAGCAGCTTTGAGTTACCTCTTATTTAAAATCCTTTCTCTGTTGCTGGACCGTCAGCAAATAACTACCACCCAAGGCAGAGGGCTGCAGCTGAGCACATGCTGTTGCTTTGGACCAGATTATACATTATACTCTTCCTTTTTTGCTGCCTCATTTAGGTGAGGGCCTTGTCTTGCAGTGTTATCACTGTTCAGTATTTGTTGTCCTTGTCCTGAAATGGGGAGTTACCTGAATCCTGCTGCTCCAGAAATGGGGCAAAGCACAGCTGGGGCCTGTAAGAGTAAATTCCTTACCCATGAACTTGTCTCCCACTGCCTGAAGTCTTCTCAGTGTGCAATTTCTGCCTGCTTGGCAAGGTAAGGTGGGCTATTCCACCAAGTACTTACAAAATAACGTTAGAACAAGCAGTGAGGTCAGTGCTTTCCGTCAGTTACAAGCCAAAGCCTAAGTCTCAAGATCAGCATCACCAGGAAACTACGTAGAAAAAAATTCTCAGAAGAAAGACTAAGCAGCTTTATTGCTGTATTTACCTGCCCAACAGGGGTAAGAAAGATGTCTAAGTGCAAGTAAAGCTAGAGCTTCAGCTTCCTAATTTAATTTAGGGTAAAAAAAAAAAAAAGAGAGAGCTGTGTCTACATGGATAGAACCCCAACAGCCGCTTAGGTGCTTTAAAAAAAACACAACACATTATGCACCCAGTGTGAAGTGATCCTTATAAATTTTTATGAATAATGAGCACACGTAAACTCAAACTATTTTATTCAAGGAGTATATACAGAACAGACAGCAAGAACTTAATCAGAGTTGGGCTAGAAAACTTGGTTTATCCACTTAACCGAAATCCATTTTCTAAGTTTCCTGTAAACAGATTACCTAGTGATAACCAAAACGGGAAAAAAAAAATAAATCATTAGCCCTCTAGGTGTCTGGTTCATCACAGTCCTACTTCAAACAAAATTGTGCCCTTCAAAGAATCTTTACAGCTCGTTTCTTGAAGTGATAGAATAGTACAAAAACATACCACCTCCAGTTGGGTAACATTCAGCTGCCTGAACACCTCTCTGAAGGGGCAGAGCTGATATCCCTCAGGGATGGTGTCCATCCCGAGTGACCCCTCCAAACAACAAGTGACATTGCTTCCTGCTGGGCAGCAGCTGCCCGAGACACGCCCCAGAGCAGCCTGTGCACAGGATCAGGACCCGTAGTTTGCTTCATCAAAGGCCTTCCTGGCTCGTTTCAGTTCTTCGTTCATGGTCAGGAGGTCTTTAACCCTGGCAAACTTGCGGGGGTCCTTGCGGATTAGAAAGACGATGTCCTCCACCTGTACGCGCCCCTGCCGGCCGATTGACATGGCCTTGTGTGTCTGTAAGAGACAAGACGAAAAACAGTGTTCCTCTGGCCCCTGAGGGTTTTTTCAGCTCTGTGCAGCTTCATTCCCTGGCACTTTTATAATCAAGAAGCTGGCAATTTCAGGATCTGGGCACCACTGTCCTAGTCCCTAGTCCCAGAACTGCGAAGTGCTGTCACCCCACTGCGCATACAGCTCTATACAACTCACCATCTCCGTGATGAACTCGATGACCAGGTCCTCCAGGATGTCCACGGACTCGGTGTAGGGGTTCTGGTCGTCCCCGAAGCCGTACATCATGCACCTGACTGCGGGGAGGCGCGGGGTGAGCCCTGCTCGCCTCGCCCTGTCCCCGCTCCCCCTGTCCCCGCCGCAGCCCCGACTCACGCTCCTTGGAGAAGAGCCGCTTCCTGCGGCCCTGCCCGCCGTCCAGGCCTCCGCCGCCTTCCTCCGCGTCCTCCTCGAACTGGGCTCAGCGCGGGGGAGAGGCGCCGTCAGCGCGGGGGGCCCACACGGGGACCCGCACCCGGCCCCGCTCCGCTTCCCGCCGCCCACCCCCGTCCCCGCTCACCGGCGCGTCCTCCTCCTCGTCAGCCATGGCCGCCCGCCGCCGCCCCGCCCCGCCTCCGCCCGCCCCATCCCGCCCCGCCCCACCCCGCCCCGCCGCCGGCCGCCATCTCGCGGCGCGGAGGGGAACGGGAACGGGACTCAAAACATGCTGTACACAACAGGACAATGCACCTACCAAGATTAATATTAAAGTCCAGCAGAGGACTTGATTTTATTTACCTGTCTTACCTGCCACAGGGGCACTGATTCCTACATGTAAAAACTGATGTGTGTTCTCTCTTGCAAATGGCTGAACACAGTAGGAGCTTTTGCAGTACTTGAAGCGTTCCTGAATCTTCTCCTGAATCTTTTGGCCATCACAGCAGAAAACTCAAATACATGTTATCCAGAGGTAAGGCTGTTTTTTCAGGATAAGACTCTGCCTACTGACTCTAGGATGGCTCTAAGAAACCAAGAGCTTCATGTTGGTGCCCCCAAGGACACCTCGCAGCAACCCTACACACACTCAAGGATCACAGGGTCTGATTCAGTCTGCTGCCCCTTTAAAGCACTTTTTATTTTTACAAACGGACTTAACAGACACACTTGATGTATTTAGATAGCCAATAAAACACTTCCTAGCATTGTAAAGGATTTTGCTCTGAAGAGAGACTAAAACCAGAAATATGCTTTCTTTTACACGCACCCATTAACTGTACAGGCTTATTTTTAGAAGCTCCTCAGTCAAGGCTGAGGCCTCAAAAATTATAACCTTGACTATGTTGATGCTTTTGAAAGACACTGGTCTTTAAGACTTGCACATAATTCCATCTGTCTACATAGTACTGTATTTACCCCTAGGATCAAACATCCCGCAGGCTGGTTTGCTGTGAGGTAAGATATCACAGAACTACAGGCTTGACCTCTGCTCAGGTGTGGAAACTAGAGATACACAGCTGCCTCCTGCTTCCCTCACACACTGCCACATCCTATGTACTGATTCTGTACCTTGTAACCAGCCAGCTCTGGTCTCCCCCCAGTCAGGTGTTCATAGCAATGTTCAGCTGCTGTGGGACCCCTTTATTGTGCTCCAGCTTCCATCGTAAGGCAGATGCAGAGAATGGGTTCATCTCTGGCAACTCATCTCAGTGCAGCTGCAGAACTCCCTATGAGATTTAAATCAGAAGATAGACGCAGCGCTGACTGATGGTAACGGGCAGAAGGACAGGCTCCCCCTAGGTGTCATTCATCTATCGCACTGCTTCAAGCCAACAGCAACCAAGATGCAGATCCCACTAAATGTTTCCTTTCCTACGTCCACCTGGAACAGGGACAATTGGATGCAAGCGAGGCACGCTGTAATGCTGAACCTATGGAATGCACAATGCAGAGAGGTTACAAGAGCAAAAAACTACAAAAAGTTCCCCAAAAGCCCCGCACAAAGCGTTGGCTAACTCCACTCAACATAGCCTCAGAGCAGGCAGGATGCCCACTTGCTAGTTTTCAGTCTCTGCTACATCAGCTGAGAGAAATAAACCTTGGGGATATCATTCAGTTCCATGTGTCAAGTACAGTTTGCTTAATATTAGAGCTATAGTTTTTCTTTGATACAAAGACATTCAGTTTCTAAATAAGATTACTAGACCCTCTCTGGTACCCTAACTACCGCAGAGCTTATGTATGCAGTGGTAGCTTTTTGAACATTTACCTGGAGGGAGAGGCAATGCTGTATTAAAACCTAGCTTGTCTTTGGAGGTTCTGAGTTTTTTTTTCTCCACACAATCACGTAGGTTTGTAAAATAGTTCTAAAGTACCCTGGATTAATTCACAGTGCAAAATTCCTGAACTGATGAGTTTATTGAATGCAAAACTTATCCTTACAAACATTAATTTATCCAACATTTTATACAAATTTATCCAGAAATAAACTTCAATGCTTCAGGTTATTTACAATGAAAATCTAGACCTGTAGTTTTGGTACCTTTTGTTCTTGATGAGCGGAGCAGATCAGGAAGCCAGTCTTCAGCTGTCCTCTACAGTAGGCAGGTTTCCAGTAACATGGGCTATAAAACACCTTAGCAAGTGGATTCCTGAAAACTCTACAGAACTGTGGAAACAAAGACACGTATATTCAGTCCCTGATGCTGCATTACCTTCAGGTACTACAAACAAGCTCAGCCTCTGGCTGTATTAAATTACTTTAAGGTTGTACTGCACTGGGGGGATGCAAGCACTTCTACAGTGTGATCAATTATGGCTTGCTGCTGTTAACACAGCTCCAAACAAAGTGACAAAGCCTGCTACCAGGCAGCATAGGTACTGCTGCCCTTCTCAGCAGCCTTCAAAGCTGAACTCAACTCAGCTGTAGAGGATGGGGAAGAAGGAGAGGGGCGTTCCTGTGCAGGCAGCCCACCTGCCATCTTTGGGGCACAAGGAATTGTCATCCCTAGTGCAGAGAGACCCATTTTAGGTAGCTTGTCCAGTGCAAATCATCACTTGAAAGCCAACAGCAGCAACGAAGAACAGCTTTACCTGACCAGGAATAGCTGAGGAAAGCATCCTTGAGTTTTCTCCTTCACAAACTCCTGGATCCCCAGTACATTCTTTAACAACAGTCCCTTGGAAGCTCGGTCAATTTTTGTTAACACCATCTACACAGATACAAAAAGGGAAGATCGAGACAGGAAAAGAAGATTACTTTGCTGCTATCCTGGAATAAATCAAGCAAAAAAAAGTCCCTCAAATACCCCAGCCATACTTTAGGCCTACGTTACTAACAATAAAGGTGGGCTAGAAGGTATTCTACTTAGGTAGGACAACTTGCAAAGGCTCAGGCAGAGGGTACACAGCTGCACAGATTGCCTTTAGCATAAAACTAACACAAGTTTTTGTTCTACCTTTTCAAGAACAAAGCATCGCTTACCACATACGGAATCCCAAACTCTTCCAGCATCTCTACTGCAATATGGTCTGTTTTCTGCAGTCCTACTACACCATCAACTAACAGAAAAGTCCTCTTCAAGCTGTCAGAAATACAGGCAACGTTAATCACCACCATTATATCATCCCACTGTGCTACTTCCAAATTCATAAGCATGAACAAGTAATGTAGGATTTGGGCCACGCACGGCAACTGAGAGGTCAGCATGGAGCAGCACCTCCATCTTTTTTTCTGCACTACCCCTGAAAGCAGCCACCTCTGCTGCATTTTTCCATCCAGCCCCTCGATGCTGCATATGGGTGTTCAGCTCCCACTGCTGAACGGAGGTGCAGTTACGTTCCTTACTTCTGCCGTTTCTGCAGGTAGGCCTCCACCATCTCCACAAAGTCTTCTGGGGCCTGGTAGCCATATCCTGGCATATCCACCAGAGTAAAGTACTTCCCGACTTTGAAGAAATTCATCTTCTTTGTGTGGCCCTGGGGAGAGGATTTAAAAATGTTTAAGACAGAGGGTTAAGAAGTTGCTTTAAGTAGCGGAGCAGGAGATGCGCTGCAAAGTATATCCATGCTATACCCTACGCCCCAGAGAAAGCTGCAAAAATGCTAGTGCTGCTTTAAGCTGTTTTCTCCTTTTTGCAATCCCAAATGGCTCTATCCTTAAAATAACGGGCTCAAAATACCTATGCTCATCTCTGTGCCCGGTGCTTCCCAAAGGGCTTAACATCACGACTGCTTGGCTTGCAAGACTTGGCCGCGCGTGCCAGCCCTGGCTGAGGTGTAAAGCTGGGCACTTTTTACCCTTTCCTTTGCAGAAGCCAAGCCTGTGCTGGCTGCGAGCTGGCACGCTCCCTGTCACCTCATGTTTCTCCAGCCCTCGCTCCCTTCACCCTTCTCGCCCGGCTTAGCAGCGGCGCCTAAAACTAACTCAGCGCAGGGCGGCAGCGCGGCACTCACCGGCGTTTTGGACACCCTGACCTCCACTGCCGGCGACAGCGCGAACAGGGCGCGGATCAGCGACGACTTGCCCACGTTGCTGCGGCCGATGAAGCACACCTGGGGCAGCGGGACAGGAGGGCGGGCGCTCAGGCTGCGCCCCGCACTCCGGGCGGGGCCCCCGGCCCCATCTCCATCCCCGTCCCCCCGGCCCCCACCTCGGGCAGGGCGGGCGGCGGGGCGTGCTCCATGCGCACGGCGGAGCTGAGGTAGCCGACGGCGTGGCCGGGCCCGGCCGCGAAGAGCCGCTCGGCGCTGCGCAGCGCGGCCAGGCCGGGCTGGAAGAGGCCGAGGGCCGCCGCCTCGGCGCCGGGCAGCAGGCAGCGGGCCAGCCCCTGCAGCGGGAACACCAGGGCCGAGCCCGAGCGCCGGCTCCGCTCCAGCCGCAGCGCCTGCGACAGGGCCGCCGGCCCCGCTCTAGGTCCCGGCCCCGCTCCCGGTCCCGCTCCCTGTCCCCGTCCCCGTCCGCGGGCCGCCCGCAGCAGCCGCATGGCAGCAGGGCGCAGCGCTGCGTCCCCTTAAACTCTGCTCCTCCTGCAGCAAGGTGGAGCTCTAATGCTTCGAGCTCCAGTCAGGCCACAGTCGCTGCCTGCTGCACGCACAGCGCTAGCGAGTAAAGGTGTGATTTGTGTGTAGGCAGAGCGCCTCTCTCCTGCCAGCCCCCTGGTGCGAGTAAATCACAGGTGGGTGCGGAGAGAAAAAGCAGAGGAACAAACACCGCAAGGACTGGTTTAGGCACACCGCTAGTGCTTTGTGGTGGTTTAACAACCTAGCTTAATTAAAACTCTGCGGTGAAGCCGGTACCAGAAAACCCACCCTGGCCAGAGATCGGCTTTGTAACCATCCTGGTAGGCAGATTGCCACATTTTTAAGCCAAAAGCTTTAAAATAAATAAATAAATAAATAAGCAGAGTGGGTGCTTTCAGGTATTGTTGTCCCACACAGCTTACTGCCGCTGGCATTCCCCACGGGGAGTCCCTGTGGGGCCATCCCAAAGGCTGGCAGACAGACAGAGCTGCCACCTAAAGCCTCGCTCCCCTGCACACACCCCGGGTGACAGACGTGCCCTCGCTGTGCAGATGTCCCTCTCTGTGTGGCCGTGGCATTCCCAGACCTTCAGCAAGGCTGATCGTGTTCAGGTGGGAAGGAACAACCTTGTCTGATTTTGTTCTCCCCGTGGTCTCCTGCTGCCAGCTGTTTCCTCCGTAGCCAGGTAGGTCTCCAGGCACCAGCTCAGGACTGCCCTTTTCAGCATGCGGGAGTTTTTGTGGCCAGGGCATCCAAAGGCCATCGTGCGACGTCATTCAGCGGTACTGATGGCTCGCACAGGCCACAACTCCGAGACTGCTCCCAGACTGCCCTTGTAAGCGTTGGCTCCTGCCCCTCACAGATCTATGACATGGTTGCTCAGATTACCATGTTGTACTGGGTCTGTCTGGGATGTTAACTTTCCCGGCAGCAGCCCATACAGTGCTGTACTCTGCACTTGTAGCTGGAACAGCAGTGTTATCACACCGATGTTGTGTCTACTGCTGAGCAGCAGTGGCACAGCATCGGGCCTTTCTCTAACCCTCCTAGGGGGTGGGCAAAAAGTGAGGAGAGAAACATCAGTAGGGCAGCTGACCTAAACCAATCAAAGGGATATTCCATACCATGTAGTGTCACACTCAGCAATAAAAGGTGGAAACAGGAAGAAGAGGGGAGGAGTGGGCTCTCGTTGAGAAAACATCGGTCTTCCTCTCGAACACCGGCTGCGTGCGTTGAGGCCTTGCTTCAAGGACGTGGTCCATCATCGCTCATTTGTGGGAAGTAGAGAGTAATTTCTTTCCTCTGCACTTCCACATAGCCTTAATTTATTTTGTTTGTTTTCCTCACTTCTTTTTATTTTTCCTTTTCCCCTTTCCCTTTTATTTCCCCTTAGTTAAATTGTTTAGTTCATGGTAGTCTTTATTTAATTATTATAATTATTTCCCTTTAATTAAATTATCCTTGTCTCAACCCGTGAGTTGTTCTTTGCTTTACTTCTCCCCCTCCTCATCTAAAGGAGGCGGAGTGAGAGAGCGGTTGTGGGGTTTAGCTGCCCAGCACGGTAAAACCACCACACATGTTCTCCAGTAATCCATCCAGAAAGCATTTCAGGAGAGGATCTGGGCAAAGTCCTTGATAATTCATAAACGCAGTAAGGCTGGAAAGCAACACAGACCATCCCTAAAAGCAAAAGGGCAGGCTTCGTTCGGGACCCAGCAGCTGCTCGCTGCAGGAGCATCTCCAGGCGGGTGCCGTTGCCCGCCTCGCCCAGGAGATGGAGATGAGAGCGCAGCACAGCGCGGCCTCTTGCAGGAGGCAGCCCGGAGGGTGAAGTGGGACCAAACTGCACCTGGCACATCAGGGATGGGGCCGGGAGGGCAGCAGGGGAGGATAAGGCCCGCTGCTGGAGGCAGGGGGTAGGCACGGAGCCCCTTGAGGAGACGTCTTCTGAGCTGAGGAGGAGGCGGCAGCAATCTGACGTTGAAGGACGCTTAAAACCAGCCCCAGGGCTGTGCTGGAGACAGACAACAAAGCCAGAAGCTCGGAGCAGCTGCCCAGGACACGGCAGTGATGCCCTTACCACAGTATTACCACACTGTGTGGCTCCAGCTCTAAAGGCAGACAGAGTTTGGGCTTCCAGAAATACAAAAACACCTGACACCCCCACCTGATCTCAGCCAGATTGCTAATACACAACCTTCCCACCTGCTTCTTGCTGCCTCCACCATCTAGTGCTGAGCTATGTCACCCTGATGGATGTGGCTGAAGCTACAGTACCTCCCGTGCTGCAGGGATCTCTGTCTCAGAGAGACAAATGTGACCCTTGCGTCTCGGACCCACCTCTAAATGTGAGAAGCTTTTGTTGCACATAAGCTCCAAACCACACAGCTGAAGCTGCACTGACCAACATAGCTGAAATCGTCAAAGTGAGTTTCAGAAAGAAAACTGCAGCGACAGCAGCCGGCAGAGACGAGGATTTCATTATGTCACTGCTGCTGGCTTCTCTCAATATAAGAATGCTGCAATCACAGGATGCCTAATTTCCTTTTTGATCTCACCCAGCTTTACCTTTGTGTTCCCAACAGGTGCTCTGCCTCTTCTTGGTTAACCTGTACCTACTACCTGGAGGGGGGCCAGGATGTTTGCCTTCCTCCAGTGATTCTCTGGATCAGTGAGGCCTTGCAACCATTTGGCCAGGGAACGGAAACCCTTCCAGGTGGGCACATTTCAGCACAGCCACTGGAAATGCATAAACCAGCTGTGCCTGTTGCTGTGGGGAAAGAGTTTTGTCTCCTAGAACAAGCAAACAGGCACCACCTTACATCAGCCTCGTGGCTTCACAGTCTGGGGAGGCTAACGCTGTTCTGATTAAATTCAGTTTAGTGCATTAATTTCCTGGGAAGTTCATCTTCTATCCAGAGAAGGTACCTTAGCTGGTAGAAGACAGCAGTGTTATCACACAGAAAGATTCTACCCACCTACATTCCCTGCCTGGAGGGAAGGAGGGATTGCCAGTATCTCCTAGAGGAAAGATCTTAAGCTGTTAGGTAGCTTTTTATTTTTTTTTTCCTCTTGGATAAAATCCTCACTGTCAGATCAGAACCAGGCATGAAAATCACTCGGCTTATACTTTGTGCAAGTTCTGCCATAGGTTTTCTTGCATAGTGGTACTGTGAGAAGTGTACAGAAAGCACACATTGATACCATTTCCTCTGCGTTCACCAATTCTCAGCACAGGAAGAAGCTCTGTGCTATGAAGAAGTGCTCTGTGCTATTTGTAGCTGCAGTAAGGAACCTCCAGGAGCCTAGGAAGAGCGGTGGCTCTGACTGCTGAGGATCACTGGCAGGGGATGATGAGGATCTCACAGCAAGCAAGATGGTGCAGGAGACCTGCATCATCCAGACACGCAAGAGCTGCCTTGGAAGAGATCTGGAAGACCATTTACATCGTCGTCCTGCTCACCATCACTGCAGTCACAGGAGCCACAGGTAGTTCTGGCAGCATCTTGGGACCAAGCAGCTATTAAGGGCTAAGGGGGAATGCATCACAGTCATGTTTTCTCAATTCTTTGGGGGAAAAAGTCTAGGGGAAGGAATCTTTAGAAAGCGCTGAAGGGGTTTTTCTGATGCAGAAGCAATAACCTGCAAGAGTTTAAGATTTAATGGGAAGGTTTGTTCTTCTTCACAAACTCTGCTAAATACTTTAAAAATATAAAACCCAAAGACAATGGGATCTGAAAAGACAGCAATAACCTTTCTCCTCCCTACCCTACATTAACTATGAAAATTCACGTTTGTTTTTATTGGGATCAGGTAAGACAGGTGGTTATGGGGCAGAGATCATGAGTCGAATAGGGATCTCTTCATCCGACAGAAAGCAGGCGTGTGTTTTATTTCCAGTTAAATGTCATACTGACTCTTCCACTGTTCCATTTGACGGCACTAGTACCAGGGAAATTGGTTCATATGAACAGGACAAAATTTGTCATTTGTGCTTGACCTTATTAGGAGGGCTGCTCATAGCCAGCACAAAAGTAGAGTCAACGTCTTCAGTCATTTTTCTCCTGTATCGGGCAGTGATGTAGAGAGAAAAGCAACCAGAGATCTTCCCGTACAGGTGGGCTCTGCAGCTCAGCCGGACTCTGCTTCCCAGTCATGTTGTTTATCTAGTGCTTTAGGGAGGAGAACTCTGCATAAGAAAAGAGTAAAACCAAGGACCAACTTTTGCAAACACAGCCATGAATTTGGCTATTTCTTTCTGTCTAAAAAAGGAGACATGCAGCCCTTGGGCTGGCACAGACAGGGCCTCACTCTGGAGTGTAACAGAGCTGACATTTCCCTCCAAAGCACAGGCCAGAACTCCAAGGCTGTGAGTGACATCCTTGGGCACCTTTTCACACATCCTTCTCCTTCTTTGTCTCCTCCAGGAAACAGAACGGCAGCACAAGCGGGTCACAGCGCTGTGATGACCTGCCCTCACAGAACAGGAGCAACTATGGTGACGTGGAAAATAAGCCCCAAGATAGGAGGCCCTTGCACCTTGGTATTCAGGGCTGATCAGAACCTGGTGCACAGAACAAACTGCAGTGACAGCGTGAAAAGTGAGTTCAAACCAGAACAGTTTTATGCCCTTGAGATACAGCAAGTGGGAATGGCTGATGAAGGGAATTACAGCTGCGAAGTGGTAAATCAGGAAGGGAATTTCCACCAGATGTACCAGCTGACCGTGCTAGGTAAGGGACTCCTTCCTCATTTCTCTCTTCTCCAAAGGACCACCTCCAGCCCCAGACAGACAAAGCTCCTCTCCTCCCGCACAGGAAGAAGCGTGCACTGAGAAGAGGAGCTTTCTCAGTGGCACAAATGGTCACGCAGTCATTTAGTAGCTCTGTTTCTTCCCTCTCCTCATTTGCCAAAACTCCCTTCTGCTGCCCCTTTCTCCCCCGCAGAGTTACAAGTGATGGGTGTGAAGCAATCCCCAGTACACTACAGAAGGAGTCTGCACGTGCATCTTGTTTTCCTGTAGTCACTCACTAACACGCTACTTTAATATGACAAAAACACAGGAGGGCAACACCTCCGAGTACTGAGCTATTCGATCAAACACTGGATGTTGTTACCCAGGCAGGAAGAACAGCCCCAATTCCTGCTAGCCTGGCATTCAAATCCATTTTAAGACACATGCATGAAGGCTGATCGGGACAGAAGTCTGATTCAGCCCTGTATTCTGGGCAGTTCCCCACCTCCACATCCTGAGATGCCTCCTCTAATGGTACATGGCTGTGGTAACTCACCTCAGTGTGGGAGAGGTGTCCAAAATGAGGAAAAAAAAAAAAAAGAAATCTGTCCTTGTCACTTTGGCACACATTGCTGTGACGGGATGGCACCTCCAACCTGACTCTCCTCTTCTCACGACGTTCCTTTTGGGTAAAGAATAAGAACAGCCTCTGCCAACTGCAGCAACCCACATGTCTCCCCTTCCTGATGCTTTGCAGTGCCCCCAAGGCTGTCCCTGTACTGTGACAACCACAGCATCCCTGTGTGCGAGGCAGCGGCAGGGAGACCGGCTGCTGAGATCTTGTGGGTCCCAGAGAACAGCTCCACGACTGAAATAGACAGCCACGACAACGGGACAGTGACCGTGCTCAGCAGGTTCACAGCACACAGCACCGACAGGAAGACTGTAACCTGCAAGGTGTACCACGCAACTCTGAATGAGACCATGTCCACAGACTGTTCCTCATGTAAGCTCTCCCTTGTGTGTTCAGCATTCAAAATCCTGCCTAGCCCTCTGTTCAAGCACTATGACAGGCATCAGTGACCCTAGGAAGATTGCAGCAGGAGCCATGCAGAAGTTTCCAGGGAGAAATTTGTTGGGGTCAGGGAAAGATAAACAAAAATGCTGTGAGAATTGAAAAGTGCTCTGTGAAATTTTAGTCAGAATGATAGATTTCTGTAGTCTTCCCTCCCACAGATAGGGCTGTGAGAAGACAGGATTATTCAGACGCACACAGAAGAGTGTTGTCTAGAAAGTATGATCCTGAAAGGGGCACACGGTAAATGATCTGTGAAATGTACCTAAAAGAACTGTTTCTCTTCAGACAGCGTCACATGGTTTCTTCACCACGTCATCATCCTTGGTTGTCTGCTGAGCCTCATTTTCCTTTTTGCTCTTTTTCACCTCTACATATTCTGTGATAACAGGTATGTGCAAGACCAGTACACAAACCCCTCTGGCCAGTCCACGGGAAGTTTAGAAGGGCTTCTGGTACTCCATGTCATGTGCAGTCACCTCAGGCTTTCACAAGCAAGCTAGTTCAGTTTGCACAGCTGGTCTTAGAGGCCATTCATGTGGTGTTACAGAGCTGCTGCCATACTTCTTCCAGCAGCAGAAACACAACGGGAATGGGTAGTTTTATCTGGCTGGTTGATGGATCTGAACAAGGATTGCCAGGCAGCAAATTGCCTTTCTGAGGTTGGAGCCAGACTTCTGGATGATCTTGTCTTACTCAAATGAAACTATGGAAGGCGGGGGCAGTGAAGTGCAGGAAGTATGAAGGTGAGATCTCAAATAAAAAGCCTTCTATTCCTGAGATCCCTATCAAAATAAGGGGGAGGAATTCTGTTTTAATGTTCCTGGAGCCCAAAACTGCATTCACGAGAGAGACTCGTCCTCATACTTACAGTATTGATGTCTTGTTTCCTAGGACAATGAGGAAGCAGTAAAGGCCAAGGCACATTCCATCTGCAGAGCTGTGTCTGGGGCTATTTGTAATGCAGCACCTGAGGAGAGATGAAAGAAACTCCCAATCAGCACTGCGAGATGCAGCAGGGACTCACCAGTGCCAAAGCACGCAGGAAGAAGAAACAAGCATCCACAGTGCAGCCAGTGTAACTGCACCGAAACGTGGCATGCAGGGCAGACCCTACCTGACCTTTGTCAGCTTTTTTATACCATTTCTCTAGTGCAACTGCAGACGTTATCACCCAGACAACAAGCTGATACTTTAAAAATATATATATATATATTTTTTTAAATAAAACCAAATCTAACATACATGCAATAAGAAATTAATTTGCCTTGTATGAAAACAAGTCACTCTGTTTTAAATAGATTATATCCTAGTATTTAAGTAGCCTATCTTATTGGTTAAGATAAATCAGAAGAAGTTTTCTTGCATACTAATGAGAAGTAGCTTTCCAAGTATGGTTATGCAGCACTGAAGCTAAATTTGAGCAGCGTTCTCATTTTCCCTGTATGAGTTTTAAAGATGCATCACTACGAGCTAAAAATAAAGAAATAAAAAAAAAATGATCTTGAGCAGTTATGCCACCTGAAACATAGAAGATATTACAATCCTGAGATCTAAGCCTCACACTTGCACGTACCTCTTTGCATAATCCAGAGAGCCCATGCAACACAGCTCTTTAATAACCAGTTTCTTTAAACACATCTTAATGGCCCTAACACAAGGCAGTCCTTGACTGTAATCTTCCAGTTGATGACAGGCTGCCACTTCTAAGCCTCTAAACATAACCGTGCCTGTTCATCATTTCTGAACTTCTATTTCAGGTAGAGCTGAGTATTACTCTGCACCTGAAATTTCAAAGAAGCAGCAGGTATTTCACACCCACCTCATTTCTCCAGACTCAGCAGAAATCCAGGTCTCATCAGCATCACTATACAGAAGACCCTGTTCCAAACTAGTACACCTGGAGACCTTTTCCATCTGCCAGCTGTTAGGCCTCTCTATCCTCTTTACAACTCTTCTGATCCCACATGATGTTAATTACACCTCCCATGCCCACTCCTCACATCAACAGCCATTCAAGCATTTGTTTGTTTGGAGTATCAATTACACAGATCTCTAGCTCTCAGCCAGCAAGGTGTGCTTAAAACTGGAGCATTAATATATTACAGAGAAAGTAAAACACAGAAACTAAGTTATTAAACTCCCCTGGACCTTGGAGGCTCTTCAGGAGAGTGGCTTTTCTCCATAAATGACCACAAACCTCTGGTGTTTTGAGGGCATTGATGAAGTTCAACCAGGTTTAATACGTTTGTTCTAGCACCTTGTGTACAAACGCTAGGCTTAAGGCTGACAAAACAGGGTGATTGCTGGCACCCCCTGGCCAGAATAGCACCTGACTGGGCTGAGCTTGAACTTAGGTAGCGGGAAGAGAAGGCAGAGAACAGGGAACTCCACGGCTTTCAGAAATCTGGAAGATGATCTTGATATGTGTTCTTCATTCACTGCTTCTGTGCATGACTGACCACTTCTCAAGCTTTGCGAGCCTTATTTCATATCTGAGCCAGCACCAAAACCTCATATAAACTTCAGTGATAAGAAGAGCAAGCTTGTAAGTCTCAGCACATGGAGAATAGTCATCTAGCTTTATCGAGAACACAAAATGCTGTGTCACCACACACCTTGTGCAGCTTTTCTAGCAGCATGGCTGTCTGACAGTCCCTGGCCTCTCTTAGGCATCAGGCCTGCCACTTATATTTAGATATTAAGAGTCTCAAGATGGTTTATGCTTATTCTTGTCTATTAACAGTCTTGCTCATAACCTGATAACGTGGAAGATGTCTTGTTTCCTCTCGGAGTAGCAAACCAGCTTGGCTTCCACTTCGTAGCTGAACAGCTAATTTACACACCACTGCCCTGCTTCTCCTCACGTTCTTCACGTGTGGCCAACAGACTCCTATAAATGGCTGTTTTGGGGTGTTTCTGGCCATGACACCGTACAAACGCAGAGTGATTCTGCTGACAGAGTGCAGTGAAACCGCTCCTTTCACTCACTGATGTGGCCCTGTTGTGCCCGTGTGCTGCTACACACAGCTGCTTGGTCACAGAGCTTCAAACGCTGCACAGCTGGCACACGATGCAAATGAACTCGGAGATGAGAGCTAGATGAAGAAACGCTTGGGATGGCTGAGTTACTGCTAGTTCTTTGTGGTGACTGAACTGCCTTATCAAAGGCCAGCAGAAAACCACACTGACTTCAGTAGATATTTGTAGTTATCCTGGCGAGTTGGTTTCCACAGCGCACATCAACTGACTGACTGCACGCACATCACACTCGGCTAAGTCGCATCTCTGCAGCAGCTGAGCAAGCTCCGAGCACCCGTACGTACAAACCTGCCCACAAGCACACAGCTTCTCCACCACTGCATTTTACGTTGAGACCACCTGCAAAGCTGCAACTCTGCTTGACTTTTACTAAGTATATTACAGACAAAGGGAGCACGCAGAGATCTCTTCCTTTCCTCTCTTTGCAAACCGTAGGCAGGCAAAATTTCAGAGATGCCAAAGACATGCCCTAAGTTAACAATAGCCCGCCAGTGTCAGTAGTACTCAGGACATGAATCTGAGACTTGCTGTACCTCTTGTTTGGGGCTAACCTACTGTACTTCCCTTCCTGTTCTCCAGACTGCTCAGGACTCTAGCCAGAAAGAAAAATAACTTACATTCTTTGTCACCATTTCCATTCAAATGGCTCAGGGTCCTTCTACCCTCCTTTAGGGACGAAAGAGATCAAACTCGCACAGCAGAGTTCACAGGATTGTGTGACCAGCCTTGCCCCTATTCCTTGGTGTATTTAATCTCAAAGCCATCACAAATCCTTCTGCAGGACAGAGGATGAAGCAACCTAGGCTTTTTACAGTCTGAGTTTCAGCCCAGTCTCCTGGGCAACTACAGGAACAACCGAGAATGCTTCTTCCTTTCCCTCACTGGATGCCCCATCTTCTCATCGGTGTGTTCACTGCATAAAGAGCGTTGGCAGGAAAAGATTGCTTGCCTTTTTCTTTCGTTAGCTGTCACTGGGGGTATTTTAATATACCAGTTTTTAGCTATTCTTCCACCCCCTCAAAAAACAAGCAAACAAAAAAACAAAGGAGGAAAAACTTCTAACAAACTCAGACTGCACCAGTTTTTCTCCCCCACCTCCACCCCTAAATAAGAACTGACTTCTCTAAGTTTCAGTCCTTCCCCATCATGTTCGCACAACTGAGAGACCACAGAGTCTTATTATTTGTTGCGTGGTGAGCTTGCCCCAGAGTGTTACATAAACCCCCTCTCACATCCTGTTCTTTTGCGGAATTCACTCAGAGCTCTCCAGCGTCGCCAGCTGCATCTCTTCCACATTACTAGTCACAAATCCCTAGCACAATTCTCCTCATATCCCCCCAGTGCTGTCTGAGCACAGCAAACAGGAACACAGACACTGAAAGACGTTCTCACTTCCACAGAGTGTTTCTGAAGCTCGGCACAAGCACACACACCCACGTCATTCCCCTGACAAGCTCTCACACCAACGTGTAGAGTACCCTGCTTTTCTTCTACCTGCTACGATTTGTACAGCTGGAAAAAGCAAGATAAAAGGAACAGGAAAGTGTGATTCTCACAGTGACCTCCCATTCGATGTATAAACATGTGAACAAAGATGCAGAAAACGGCACGTGTGTGTTTCTCATTGTGGGTAGCGTAAGATTGGGTTACTTCAGAAAATCTTATGAAGCGTTTGCATCCCTGCTTCTGTCTCCCAGATCTGCGTAGAAGTAACGTGGGTGCAAGAATGACCAAACTGACAGAACACTGGGAAAAACAGTCCTCTCCTTCTGGGTGTTTTTGGGGTGGCTGCCAAAACTCCTCACTTTAAGCCAAGAGGGTGACTCAAAAGGAAAAAGGTACTAAGGGAGCCAGAGCTAGAGATTAAAGCAAGAGACATCCCTGCTCCCTCTTTTGATCTAGGGTTTGAGTATTGGCAGGATACATACAAAACATGGTTGCTCCTTGGTTGTGTGCCATAAGTGTCCCATCACTGAAACTGGTACCAGTTTATGCAGCTCCTCAATGAGCAGTCAGACAATTTGGTAGGTAAAAACAAGTTAGCGTTGAGGTCTGATCTACCCCAAGACTGCCTTAAGGGAGGAAGCAGCACGGCAGGGGAAAGGACTGGCCCGGGAGGTGGCAGGGCAGGTGAAGGCATCTCCTTACACAGCAGCAGCTGCTTAGTCCTCTCAAACACCGGTGGTGCTCCAGCACAAGAGAGAAGTTGTGTTCTAGTTAGAGGCAATATCTCTACAGCGGTAAAGAAACTGCAAAGCAGCCTGCAAGGGAAGACATGGCCACTCATTTTAAAGAGCTCTTCTGGTATCTAGAGGTGAATAAACAACAGGCATTTCTACTTAACCCTGGTAGTCAGTCTCCCCCATTCTGGCACAGCTGCCTTCTCCAAAAGCTGTTTTGAAAACCCTGTCACTACTTTTCTGTCTTTGGACACATTCAGGCACTGGCAGAAGATCACACTGTAAAGAAAAGGCATCAGATTATTAGTTTTTTGGGGAATAAGCCCGGGTCATGCCTGGACAGTGATAACACCCTGTCATTACTAGAGGAAAAACGTTTCCTCCAGTTCCGTAACATCTAAAGCAAAATTTATCTTCACCCAGCTGCTGTGTGAGAAGGGGGGACAAACAGAAGTCACAGTCACTATATCTATTTCCACACGCCTTCCCAGACTGCCAGCACAGGAAGCTTGGTGTTGTGAAAAGGGATCTCAAGCAGACCATTTGGGAGCAGGCTGGTCAGGGTGGTCTGGCACAGCAAACAGCGATGCCGACTCCTGAGAGCACAGCAGCAAGGTCTTCCTACGCAGGCTGAGCGACTCATCCACTGAGCACTGAGAGCAAATTTGGCATGAAATTTGTTGGAAAATTGCCTGAGCCTTCCCACTGCTTGCTATTGGAGCAATAACCAGGGCAGACTGCCTTCAGG